TTCAGCCTCCTTAAGGCATACCATGGATTTGTTAGTTCACCATCTCCATCTCTGTATACTTCATTCACGAAGTCCATTCATTCATGTCATTCATTCCGCTCATTTATCCACCTACCAATTCATCCATTTCCTCAGTTCATTCATTCACTCCATTTGCTGATACAGCACTCATTCATTTATGCACTCCATTTATTCTTTCAACAAACATTTTCAGAGGCTTTCAATGACCTGAGAGATTTGAACAAGAAACTTCCTATATGTTGGAGGAAACTGACATTCACCCAGAGTCACACATATAATAAAATTATAAAGGGTTGGGTCAGGCACAGTGGCTCATGCCTGTAATCCCAGCACCTTGAAAGGCCGAGGCAGGCATATTATCTGAGGTCAGGAGTTCGAGACCAGCCTGGCCAACATGATGAAACCTTGTTTCTACTAAAAATACAAAAATTAGCCAGGCATGATGGCGTGTGCTTGTAATTGTAATCCCAGCTACTCAGGAGGCTGAGGATAGAGAATCACTTGAACCCAGGAGTTGGAGGCTGCAGTGAGCCGAGATCATGCCACTGCACTCCAGCCTGGGTGACAAAGTGAGACCAAAAGAGCAGGGGCTGGTGGGGCACAGTGGCTCACTCCTGGAATCCCAGCACTTTGGGAAGCCATGGCAAGAGGTTGGCTTGAGGCCAGGAGTTTGAAACCAGCTTGGGCAATATGGCAAAACCCATCTCTATGTTAAAAAAAAAAAAAAAAAAATTGGCTGGGTGCCGTGGCTCACGCCTGTAATCCCAACACTTTGGGAGGCCAAGGTTGGTGGATTGCAAGGTCAGGAGTTCAAGACCAGCCTGGCCACCATGGTGAAACCCCGTCTCTACTAAAAATGCAAAAATTCGCTGGACGTGGTGGCGCAAGCCTGTAATCGCAGCTACTTGGGAGGCTGAGGCAGGGTATTGCTTGAACCAGGACCCGGGAGGTGGAGGTTGCAGTGAGCCGAGATTGCACCACTGCACTCCAGCCTGGGCTACACAGCAAGACTCCACCTAAAAAAAAAAAAAAAAAAAAAAAAAAAAATGTATAAAGGGAGGCAGAATATAAACACAGGTATTCTTGTTCCAGTCTGGGGGCCACGAGGGGACATGTGAACTGAGACCTAAAGGATTGGTTAAAAAAAAAAAGGAGGGCCGGGCGCAGTGGCTCACGCCTGTAATCTCAGCACTTTGGGAGGCCGAGGCGGGTGGATCACAAGGTCAAGAGATCGAGACCATCCTGGTCAACATGGTGAAACCCCGTCTCTACTAAAAATACAAAAAAAACCTAGCTGGGCGTGGTGGCGCGTGCCTGTAATCCCAGCTACTCAAGAGGCTGAGGCAGGAGAATTGCCTGAACCCAGGAGGCGGAGGTTGCGGTGAGCCGAGATCGCGCCATTGCACTCCAGCCTGGGTAACAAAAAGCGAAACTCCGTCTCAAAAAAAAAAAAAAAAAAAAAAAGAGGGAAGGAAGAGCAGTACAGAAGAGGGAACGGCCAGCGTCAGGGCCCTGAGATCTGCGCCTGCGTAGTCTGTTTGAAGGACAGAGGCCGCCTGTTTGGCTGTAGCAGAGGAGTAATGGGGGTCAAAGACTGTGGGGCCCTGGGGGCTGATACAAGCAGTGAGCTCTTGGTCCTGAGAGCAATGAGAAGACCCCACCGTTACCCTGTGAAATAGGGATTATCAACCTGCTTTTACAGAAGAGGAGACTGAGGGTCAGGGAGGTCACGAGTCCAAGGACTCCAGCAAGAGGGTGGCAGAGCCCAGAGCCCAGACCTGCTTCCCGGGCCCCGCTGTGGCATTGCCCAGGGGCCCTCTCTAAGTTGGCCTCCTCTCCCTTGACTCTCAACAGCCGAAAGTGGTCTGGATGAAGAATAAGATGGAAATCCGCGAAGATCCCAAGTTCCTGATGACCAACTACCAGGGGGTCCTGACGCTGAACATCCGCCGGCCCTCGCCGTTCGACGCTGGGACTTACAGCTGCCGGGCCGTCAACGAGCTGGGCGAGGCGCTGGCTGAATGCAAGCTGGAGGTCCGAGGTGAGGGCCTCGCCGTCCCCAGCACTGGCTGACCCTTGCTCGGGCCCTGTGCCAGCCTGGCCCGAGGCCGCAGGTTAAGCACTGCTGAGCCCTGGAGACGAGTGAGCCCCGCCCTCTAGCGGAGGATTGGGAAGCTGCTGTCCTGAAGGCAGTGCAGGGCGTTGTAGAAGTTGGGACCGGGCAGCCCCTGACCCAGCTTGGGCAGGCGGAGTCAGATTTTTCCAAGGAGTTGAAGCACAAAGGAGAGGGAGGCTGGGCTGGGCGCGGTGGCTCACGCCTGTAATCCGGCACTTTGGGAGGCCGAGGTAGGTGGATCACGAGGTCAGGAGTTCAAGACTAGCCTGGCCGAGATGGTGAAACACCGTTTCTACTAGAAATTAAAAAAAAAAAAAATAGCTGGGCGTGGTAGCACGCACCTGTAATCCCAGCGACTCAGGAGACTGAGGTAGAGAATTGCTTGAACCCGGGGGGCGGAGGTTGCAGTGAGCCAGGATCGCACCACTGCACTCCAGCCTGGGCGACAAAGTGAGACTCTGTCTCAAAAAATAAAATAAATAAAATAAAAATTTAAAAAGGAGAGGGAGGCTGAGTGAGAAGGGCTTAGCAAACGTCCCCAAGGCCTCCAGTTTGCCTGGGCCCTCAAAGGCAGATGGGTTGACAGTTAAAGCAAACATGGTCAACACGGATGACCAGGGGCCATGGGAGCCCCCAGACACACCTCCCCTCCCTGGCCCGTCCCCAGGCTCCGACCCAGTAGCCCCTGCCTCTCCCTGCCCTGTCCCCTGGTCTCAGTCCGACAGCTCCGGCCCCAGCTCAAGCCACATTCTCTTCCTCCCGGATTCCATTTCCAGCCGCCTCCCTGTCTCCAGTCTCTCCCTCCTGCCGGCCACCCTGACCCTAGACTGGCCCCAGGGGCCTCTCTCTACCCAGACCTGCTCTGCGCCAGCCCTGCTCCCAGCCCACTGGGGGCTCCCCACCGCCCCAGCACCCCTCCACCTGGTGCTCTTGGTGCCGTATCTGCCCCGGCACCCACCTGCCCCAGTTGTTCTCACATGACGTTCCAGCCACACCAGGCTGTTGGCGGTTACACTGGCCAGGCTTTCCCGTCACTGGACATTTGCATGTGCTCTTCCCTCTTCCTAGAACACGCTTCCCCCGCTCCTTCACCCTGCACTCTGGCCCGTCAGACACCTGTCAGTCCAGTCTCAGCGAGGAGGCCACTAGCTGTCCCTCAGAGCAGGATGACATCAGCGTGGACTTCTAGAGTCCCCCCCGGATGCTGACTCCTAACCACTCAGACTTCCCTGGCTCTGAGGATGGCCCAACAGACAGAGCAGCTGGGACCCTTAACAAAGGCTCAGAGAGGACAGCTTCTAGCCAAGCACGGTGGCTCATCCCTGTAATCCCAGCACACTGGGAGGCCAAGGCAGGCAGGTTGCTCGAGCCCAGGAGTTTGAGAGCAGCCTGGGCAACATGGCGAGACCCTGTCTCTACTGAAAATACCAAAAAAATTAGCTGGGCGTGGTGGCGCGTGCCTGTCATCCCAGCTGCCTGGTGGGGAGGGGGCTGAGGCAGGAGGATCACTTGAACCGGGGAGGTTGAGGCTGCAGTGGGCTATCTTGCCACTGCACCCCTACCTGGTGCAACAGAGTAAGACTCTGTCTCAAAAACGAAACAAAAACACCCAGATCACTGCCTTTCCAGGCCACCCCAATGTCTGATATTCTGCTGTCTCCCTGATCAATGGTTGAATAAGCTCAGAAAAATCCCGGCCTTGGGATTCCAGTGTGCAGCCAGCAGCTCAGAACGTCCCCATCTGGGGTCCAGAATGGCAGTAATCAGGGGCACTGTGACGACGGGTGGTCCAGCCACGGTGGCCGGGGATGGGGCAGGATGGTGACCGTCATCCTTGACGTCACATGGACGCAGAAGCTGAAGGGGCCTGGGGGGGGCCTGGGGGGGGCGCCTGGGGCTTCAGAAGGAGGCGCACCCGGCCCCGTCTCACCCGCTTTCTCCTTTTCCCGCAGTGCCGCAGTGAGACCTGTCCCTGTCCCCTACCTGCCAAGACAGTCTGTGGCGGAGTCCTGACCCCAATCCCCAGCCTCCTGGGACTGTGTTCCTTGTGGAGTTTTCGCTAAGAACAAAACAGTGTTGCTGACCCAGGAGTGTCTGTCCTTCTTCACTCTGTAGCTCCGTCTTCCTCCTGCAGGGGGTTGGTCACCCTGGGTTTGGCGATGGGAGCAGCCGAGGTGACACAGGCCACGGTGAGGTGGCCTCTTGGAAGAGCTACTTTAGTGAGGCAGCCACGTTGTCACAGAGTGTGACAGCAGCCACAGAGTGTGAAAGGTGAACCCAAGCTGGGCGTGGTGGCTCGAGCCTGTAATCCCAGCACTTTGGGAGGCCGAGGCGGGCAGATCACAAGGTCAGGAGTTCGCGACCAACCTGGCCAATATGGTGAAACCCTGTCTCTACTAAAAAATAAAAAAATGAGTTCGGCACGGTGGCAGGCACCTGTAGTCCCAGCTACTCAGGAGGCTGAGGCAGGAGAATTGCTGGAACCCGGGAGGCAGAGGTTGCAGTGAGCCGAGGTGGCGTGACTGCATTGCAACCCGGGGACAAAGCAAGACTCCGTCTCAAAAAAAAAAGAAAGGTGAACCCAAGCCCACGTGGAGGCTGGCCCCAGAGACACTGCTGGGAGGGAGGGAGGGCACAGGCTGGGTGGCAGTCACGGTGGCAGAGAGTCAAAGACGCACCCAGGCCACACCCAGAAGGCTGCTCTATTGAGGCAGCTGTGGTGGCGGGGTGGCCTCTAGGCCTCAGCAGCGGCCCTAAGAGCCAGAGGTGGTGAGCCAAAGAGGGAGGCGGCCGAGCTGGACAAACTCCCGTGAGGCCGCTGTGCTGACCTGGCGATGGTGGCATCTCTCGTGGTCTGCTTGTAGGTTCTTAAGGAGCTGATCTTTATTAACTTGAATATCTCATCTGCCTGGGCCTGAGGCAATGTCCTTTGATCTCTGGCCCTTCGGTGACCTTGAAGGATGTTGGAAGACTCAGAGGCCCCAGAGTTGAGAGGTCTGGGGCTCAAGTCTGGCTTCTGAGGCTTGGAGCTGGGGGGAGAGAGTTCATTTCAGAGGCCTTGGCCTGCGATTGGGGAGTCCGGGCGGGGAGCGACTTTGCACTGGCTGGAATGGCAGGGGGAGCCAGACGTCTCAAGAGGGACACAGATTCCAGCGCCCCCAGCTTCCAAAACTGGCATCACCCCTTGCCCTACCTTGACCTCCAAGGCCCTACAGAGAACTGGACAGTGGGCCTGGCTGACCCCACTCCTTCAGGACTTGGGGTGTCCCTCTCCAGGCCCCACTGTGGTATATCACAGGCAGAGGTGTGGGTGGCTGTGTGTGCTCCCAAGTAGGACACAACAGCCCCCTTGATTAGGAGCGCCAAGGCCTTGTAGAGCCTGCTGGTGTCTACCCACAGACCCCATAACCCTGGGTCACCTCCACCTCCAACCCAGGAGTCCAGACCCCAGCCCCTCCTCCCTCAGACCCGGGAGTCCAAGCCCCAGCCCCTCCTCCGTCAGACCCGGGAGTCCGGGCCCCAGCGCCTCCTCCGTCAGACCCGGGAGTCCGGGCCCCAGCGCCTCCTCCGTCAGACCCAGGAGTCCGGGCCCCAGGCCCTCCTCCCTCAGACCCGGGAGTCCTCAGCTGCCTCCCCTCTGCGGCCCCGCCGCGCGTCTCCTCTCCCCCCACCTCCTCGCACTCCAGCTGGGCCTCCTCTTCATCATCGTTGCCCTCCCCGTCTTCATCCTCCAGCTCCTGGTCCTCCCGTGTGAAGGGCACGGCGGGCGCCGACCGGAAGCGCAGGCGGTAGAGCAGCCGCACCCACTGGCCGAACTCGCGGTCCCGGGTCTCGGGCGGCGCTTGCAGCTGTAAGTAGAAGGCTCGGTGGTTGCTCAGCTTGACCTTGAGCTGCCGGCGGCTTTCGTCGTGGACGAAGAGCTGGACGAACTGCAAAGGGAAGAGCCTGGGTGGGAGGAAGGGGCCGCCTCAGGTGCTGACCCCGTCGGGTCCGCCGGCACCATCGGGGTCAGGGGTCTCCACCTCGCCACCCCTCCCTCTGGCCCAGGAATCCTTTTCCACCTCCATCGCCTCTTGAATTTGAGTCCATTTCCGTCTTTCTTCCAGCCACACGTCTCCTTTCTGTCTCCCACTAGTCCTCTGCCCTAAACTCCGGACTCCAATATGCAACTCCCTACTTGACATTGCCACCAGGGGCCGGGCGCCGTGGCTCACGCCTGTACTCCGGGCACTTTAGGAGACCGAGGAAGGCAGATCACCTGAGGTCCGGCGTTCGAGACCAGCCTGGCCAACATGGCGGACTCTCTCTACTAAATTTGCACTCAGTGGGTGCTTGTGAGCGCCTGTAATCCCAGCTACTCGGGAGGCTGAGGCAGGAAAATTGCTTGAACCTGGGAGGTGGAGGTTGCAGTGAGCCGAGATCACGCCACTGCCCTCAAGCCTGGGTGACAGAGCAAGACTCTCCTCCTGGCTCGACCTCCTGGGCTCAAGCAATCCTCTTGCCTCAGCCTCCAGAGCAGCTGGGACTACGGGCGTGCCACCGCGCCTGGCTGATTTTTCCATGTTTATATAGTAGAGATGGGGTTTCACCTTGTTGGCCAGGCTGGTCTCCAACTCCTGGGCTCAGGTGATCCTCTCCTCTCAGCCTCTCAAAGTGCTGGGATTAGAGGCATGAGTCACCTCACTTTGCTTGCCACCTTTAAAATGCATCCAGGATCCAAAAACACTCCTTCTTCCGCCACCTCTGGTCCAGCCACCTGCCTCAGCCCTCAGCCCCTCCAGTCAGTTCCCCATGAGTCCACCAGAGGGCGCAGGCCAACACCTTGGGCAGCCCGGGTCCCTCTGCTCAGAGCCCTCCTGTGGCTCAGCGGGACAGGAATGAAAACAAAGTCCTCACCGTGGTCCACAGGCCTGCAGAGCCCCTGGTTCCTTCTCTGCCCTCACCTCCTGCACCTCCAGCCACACTGGCCTCCGTGCTGTTCCATGAACACCCCAGGCTAAGTCCAACCCCAGGACCTTTGCACAGACGGTTCCCTCCACCTGAAAAGCTTTTCCTCCGGCCACGACTCACCCCCTTCATCTCCCTCTGTCTTTCTCAGGAGGCATGTTCTCAGGGAGTTCTCCCCTGGCCTATTTCTTCATTTTATTTTTTGAGATAAGAGTCTTGCTCTGTTGCCCAGGCTGGAGTACAGTAGTTTAATCTCAGCTCACCGCAACCTCCGCCTCCCGGGTTCAAGTGATTCTCCTGTCTCAGCCTCCTGACTAGCTGGGATTACAGGCACCCGCCACCATGCCTGGCTCATGTTTGTATTTTTACTAGAGATGGGGTTTCACAATGTTGGCCAGGCTGGAACTTCTGGAACTTCTGACCTCAAGTGATCCGCCCACCTTGGCCTCCCAAAGGGCTGGGATTACAGGCACGAGCAACGGCACCTGGTCACCCCTGGCCTATTTCAACCGCATCCACCCTGTGAGACTCACCCATAGTCCCTCCCTGTCTGACGTAGCCCCACACGCCTTGCCCATCTGACAAATGGCCACCTGTTCCCTCTGCCTGCCTGGTAGAGTGGGAGCTCCTGGGGATTTGGCTGGTTTTGTCCAGTGGTGTTTCCCTGGTGCCCACAGCTGACACGTGCCAGGTGCTCAGTGGGTGCTTGTTGAGTATCTGGGTAAATCGATTGCTCAGGCCCCTGGCCCGTTTCAAGGTCCCACGGGCAGAGCAGGAAGCAGTCAGGAAAGCGTGGGGATCTTGGCTCAGGTCACACAGCTGGAACTGGAGTCCAGATCCAGTGTTCTCAGCCACAACACTGGGTAGCCATGTGGCCTCTCTGGCCCAGCAGTATCACTGCCAGGAACGGAGCACACAGACACCCTCACACCTGCGCACAGACACATACGCATGGATGTCCCCTGCCACACTGCCTGTAACCGAGATGCCGGGCAAAACCTTAGCGTCCCTCAGTGGGGGACTTGATTATTGTCCCCCACATAGAAGAATAACAGCTGACACTATAGGGCGCTTACTCTGACCCAGGTACTATTATATTTACTCAGTTTCTCCCCCTCCACCCGACAAACCTAGAGGGTGGGCTCTCCTCTTTTTTTTTTTTTTTTTTTTTTTTTTTTTTTGAGACGGAGTTTCGCCCTTGTTACCCAGGCTGGAGTGCAATGGCGCGATCTCGGCTCACCGCAACCTCCGCCTCCTGGGCTCAGGCAATTCTCCTGCCTCAGCCTCCTGAGTAGCTGGGATGACAGGCACGTGCCACCATGCCCAGCTAATTTTTTGCACTTTTAGTAGAGACGGGGTTTCACCATGTCGACCAGGATGGTCTCGATCTCTCGACCTCGTGATCCACCCGCCTCGGCCTCCCAAAGTGCTGGGATTACAGGCTTGAGCCACCGCGCCCGGCGGTGGGCTCTCCTCTTATCCTCCTCAACCACATGAGAAAACTGAGGCACAGGCAGGTAGGGGAAGCTTGGCCAAAGCCAGTGATGAACTGAAGCCGGGATCTGAACCCAAGTCATCTAAGGGCAGGCGTTTGTTTAAGGATGTTGTCTATCACCTTAACACCAGGAGGCTGGACACAACTTGGCGTCTAAGCCAGGGGAGCTTGTGCAATCATCAAAGGGAGCCCATTGCATGGGCTGGGCGCGGTGTCTCACACTTTGGGAGGCTGAAGCGGGCCGATCATAAGGTCAGGAGTTCAAGACCAGCCTGGCCAACATGGTGAAACCCTGCCTCTACTAAAAATAGAAAATTGGCTGGGTGTGGTGGAGGGCACCTGTAATCCCAGCTACTCGGGAGGCTGAGGCAGGAGAATCGCTTGAACCTGGAAGGTGGAAGTTGCAGTGAGCCAAGATCGCACCACTGCACACTAGCCTGGGCGACAGAGTGAGACTGTCTCAAAAAAAAAAAAAAGTGAAAGCCACTGGCAGAATGTTTCTCTGAATATATTATAAGCACATAAACATTTCAGTGTTTACAGTTGGAGTTGGGGCTGGAGCCTCCAGTGAGAGAAAGCCGGTGCTGTCTGTTTCGTGCTTGTTTCTCATATGTTTGCATTACTGTTTTTCTTTTCTTTTCTCCTGTTTCTCCCTTCTCTCTTTTCTTTTTTGAAACAAAAATCTCACTCACTCTGTCATCCAGGCTGGAGTGCAGTAGCATGAACAAAGAAATCTTAACTGATTGTGATCAATTAGTTGTCACACCACTGCACTGGGACCAGCAATGAGGTTTTTTTTTTTTTTTAGACAGAGTCTCTGTCGCCCAGGCTGGGGTGCATCCTCCACCTCCCAAGTTTGAGCGATTCTCCTGACACAGCCTCCCAAGTAGCCGGGATTACAGGAGCCCACTACCACGCCAGGCTAATTTCTGGTAGAGACAGGGTTTCGCCATGTTGGCCAGGCTGGTCTTGAACGCTTGGCCGCAAGTGATCTGCCCGCTCAGCCTCCCAAAGTGCTCGGATTACAGGTGTGAGCAGTGTGGGGTGAGGCACAGGTGGGTTCAAGAACTGCGAGCTCGCGGGGCGCGGTGGCTCAAGCCTGTAATCCCAGCACTTTGGGAGGCCGAGGCGGGCAGATCACAAGGTCAAGAGATCGAGACCATCCTGGTCAACATGGTGAAACCCCGTCTCTACTAAAAAAATACTAAAAATTAGCTGGGCATGGTGGCACGTGCCTGTAATCCCAGCTACTCAGGAGGCTGAGGCAGGAGAATTGCCTGAACCCAGGGGGCGGAGGTTGCGGTGAGCCAAGATCGCGCCATTGCACTCCAGCCTGGGTAACAAGAGCGAAACTCCGTCTCAAAAAAAAAAAAAAAAAAAAAGAACTGAGAGCTCATGACAGACTTGCCAGTGGGACCCTGGGCAACTGGCTCCCAGCTCTCTGAGCCTCAGTTGAGCTCTTTGGAGGATGGGGCTAAGGGACCCCACCATGTGAGGATATGAGGTCAGGGTGAGATCACATGCACAGCCCAGGGGCATCTGGCATGAGCGGGCGCTGCGGACACGGTCATTCTCCCGAGCCCTGCTGGGGCGTGGCTGAGGACTGTCCTCTTCGGGTCTGTCTAGTCCCCAATTTCTGGCCCCTGGAGGATTCCTCTGTCCTTGTTCTCCCAGGAAGGTGGCAGCTCAGGGAGGGCTGGTAGCACCCCCGGGTCCTGGCCCTGGGGCTGGTCTGGCTGAGGGGAGTTGCTGCTGGGGACTCAGGTGCCTGGAGCTGAGGGAGGAGGGATCTCGGCTGAGGTGGGGGCGGTCACCCAAAGAGTTGCAGGTGTCCATTCTCCTTGGCAGGGCCGGCCAGCAGCAAGAGGTCCGGGAGCTCCAGGGCTGGACTGGAGGCTGCCACCCCCATGGTGACCTTGTTGGCAACTTCTCCCAACCGAGTCACCTGGGGCCAGAGGTCAGAGGTTAGGGGCAGGATGGATGTGGGGGCAGAACTGGGGAGGTATCAGAGGTTAGGAATCCTGATAGGGGAAAAGGTCGTGAACCAGGTGAGTTGAAACTCAGGCTGGGGGCCAGATGTCTTTGAATTCAAGGTCAAGAATCATAGGGGTGGAAAGTCAGGGAAACTGAGGCAAGGGAGTTAGAGGCTAGGGTTCACCGAGAATCTAAAGAGCTAGAGGTATGGGGCACCAGACGTCACGTGGAGTTGGCAGTCAGGAATCCCACGAGATGGACGTTATGTGGGGGCAGGGGCTTTCCAAGGGAAGAGGAGGTCAGGAGGCAGGCCAAGGCTCGGGCTGAGGGGGTTCTGGGGCTCCCCACCTGCACAAAGTTGCTCTCAAAGATGGGGAAGTCCCGCAACTGGTCGAACTCGCCGCTCAGGAGGTGGCGCTGCAGCTGTCTGGGGCGGCCTGTGGGAGAGACTGGAACCAGGAGGCATTCTAGGGGGGTGATGTCCGCGGGTTGATCCTGGGAGGCTGTGCCTGGCTCCCCAGCTGGGGAGGGTCCAGCACAGCCCCGCACAGAGGACAGGGTATCAGATGCCCCCCAATTTTTATACTTTAATTTCTAGGGTACATGTGCAGAACGTGCAGGTTTGTTACATAGTTACATACGTGCCATGGTCGTTTGCTGCATCCATCACCCCGTCATCTACATTAACTATTTCTCCTAATGCTATCCCTCCCCTAGTCCCCCAGTCTCCCAAGAGTCCCCATTGTGTGATGTTCCCCTCCCTGTGCCATGTGTTCTCATTGTTCAGCTCCCACTTATGAGTGAGAACATGTGGTGTTTGGTTTTCTGTTCTTGTGTCAGTTTGCTGAGAATGATGGTTTCCAGCTTCATCCATGTCCCGGCAAAGGACATGAACTCATCCTTTTTTGTGGCTGCATAGTATTCCATGGTGTATATGTGCCACATTTTCTTTTTCTTTCTTTCTTTCTTTTTTTTTTTTGAGACGGATTTTCACTCTTGTTACCCAGGCTGGAGGGCAATGGCACGATCTTGGCTCACTGCAACCTCCGCCTCCTGGGTTCAAGCAATTCTCCTGCCTCAGCCTCCCTAGTAGCTGGGATTACAGGCACGCACCACCATACCCAGCTAATTTTTGTATTTTTAGTAGAGACGGGGTTTCACCATGTTGACCAGGATGGTCTCGATCTGTTGACCTCCTGATCCACCCGCCTGGGCCTCCCAAAGTGCCGGGATTACAGGCGTGAGCCACCGTGCCCGGCTACCACATTTTCTTTATGCAGTCTATCATTGATGGGTATTTAGGTTGATTCCAAGTCTTTGCTGTTGTGAACAGTGCCATGATAAACATGTGTCTTTATAACAGAATGATTTATCATCCTTTGATATATACCCAGTAATGGGATTGCTGGGTCAAATGGTATTTCTGTTTCTAGATCCGTGAGGAATCGCCACACTGTCTTCCACAATGGTTGAACTAATCTGCACTCCCCAAATTGCTAGCCCCATCCCTTACTTGGTTCCCTCACCAGGTCCAACCCCTCCAGGTCTGGCTCCCGCTCTCACCTGCCATCCCACCTAGTTCTGCCTCACCAGCTCCACCAAGGGCGGGCTTAGGCCCTCGCTCCCTTCTCATCGCAATGTCCCCGAACCTTGACGGGAGCGGAGGGAGGAGCCCAGGGAGAAAGCGAGGGGGTGGGGGGGGCTACAGGTACTGTGACGCCACGAAGCGGAGTGGGTTGGATGACGTCACATAGAAGCGGACGCCTGGGGTTGTGATGACGTCACTGGAGGGGCGGCTCCGGGACCCCAGGATAAAGAGGCGGTCTCATCCTGGTGACGTCGGGCCCCAGGTGCGGACGGGCGCCAGTGCGCAGGCGCCGGAGCCTAGCGCAAGCGCACGAACGTCAGGATGCGGCGTGTTTCTCCCGGCGTGCTCCGCGGCTCTTGGCTCGCGTCCGTCCCTTGGCGGGTGGGAAGGAGCCGAAATGGCCGCGGCCAGTGCTGGGGCGACCCGGCTACTCCTGCTCTTGCTGATGGCGGTAGCAGCGCCCAGTCGAGCCCGGGGCAGCGGCTGCCGGGCCGCGGCCGGTACGCGGGTGGTAAGTGCTCGTTAGTTTTGCATAGCCGGCGCGGCCTACGGACGTCTCGGGTCTTGGGGTCTTTAGGTGGGTTACAGAGGGAGGGAGGCTGCGCAGGGCCAATAGGGAAGAGGTGGGAGAGCCCTGGAAACAGGTTCAGTCACGCACGCCCAGGAGGGTCCTCGACAGTGCACCAGGTTGCAGCGACTGGGACGGAGAATTACAGCTCTGGCATATGTATGAGGGGGCGGGGCGGGGGTGGTGGAATCTTGGCAAGTCGGAAGTCCCGGCGGTTAAAATGAAAGAGGCGTGGGGAACCCAGGGACTGTGGCTCATCTGTTATCCCAGTGCTTAGGGAGGCCAAGGCGGGAGAATCGCTCGAGGTCAGGAGTTCGAGACCAGCTTGCTCAACATGATGAAACACCGTATCTACTAAAAATACAAAAGTTAGCTGGGTGTGGTGGCAGGCGTCTGTAATCCCGGCTACTCGGGAGGCTGAGGCAGGAGATTGGCTTGAACCCTAAAGGCAGAGGTTTCAGTGAGCTGAGATCACCACCTGGGTGACACAGCGAGACGCTGTCTTAGAAAAAGAAAATAAGACATGCATGGGAAGGGCGCTTTTGAGGAATTGGAGAGGAGTTTTGCCTCCTGAATATGCGTGAATATGCAAGTTTGGAGATTGGAGAAAAGGAAAGCATGAATCTTGAATGTGCTTAGTAGGAACTGAACTCAGGCTGGATCTTGGCTATTGGGGCTGTCAGGTGATAATGAGGTCTTAGCATGAAAAGGAAGCCTTGGGAGAGGGTGTCCTTTAACTCAAGAGTATTTGTGGTGCAATGCTTGGAAGTGACCTTGGGATACTTGCTTTGGCAATGAGGTTAGGCGTGTTTCTAGGGTCGGGTTTTCTGGGAGTTGGGGGGGGGGTGTCGATATCATGAATATTCATGAAGTGGGTGGTTCCTAGTGAAATAGAGGCAAGCAGCCATGATAAGGCTCCACCCTCAGCCCACTCGTCAGTCTGTCCTTGGCTCTGTGGGTGACTGCCATGCTGAGGGCTTGGTTGGTTCTCAACTGGGGCCTTCTGTGTCTTCTGCAGGCTGGGGTGGAAGGCCGAGAGGGTGAGGCCTGCGGTACGGTGGGGCTGCTGCTGGAGCACTCATTTGAGATTGGTGAGTCAGGCAACGTCTTCTCCTAGACGCTTAACATTGGTGTCCTGAGAAGTCAAGAGTTGGCGTCCGGGCGCCTCCCATCTATTATGTTCACTCTGGTCCATTTACTAACAGCTTTGCCCCAGGCTGGGGAGAAGGGGGACATGAAAGAAGAGAAACACTGTTTAAATACCCCCTTGCCTGTAAGAAAAATCTCAGTTTTTAAAAGGTCAGCAGAGCAGTCATTTCAGAGCCGAGTTTCCTTATCAGTGCCAGGTGCCTGGCATTAGCGGTTCCACACTCTGCAAGTATTAGCTCATTCACAGCAGCTGTGTGAGGTGGAAGGCAATCGGGTCAGTCTCTTTTTCCAGAAGAGGAAACAGGCTCAGAGTGGGCGCCACACAAGGTCTCCTCGTGAGTGAGTGGCAGAGCTGGGGCCAGCTTCAAAGGCACACTTAAACTGCCATGATGCAGGTGTGCATGTTCCCAGGGCCGATCACCAGTGCTGCCCAGAGTGTAGTCATTGAGTCTGAAGCCCCGAACCCACGGGTGCAAACCCTGACGCTGGTGCCCCTCCTGGACCCTGGCATCTGCTCAGTGAACAACTCCCTGATTCTGACACAGCCAGGCAGGTGGGAACTCCTGGACTCCCCAGCTTCCATGTTTTGCAGCTGGGGAAGCTGAGGCTGAGAGAGGTTCTGTGGCTGTCCCTGGGTCACCTGTCGAGGCAGAGGCAGGATTTGGGAGCTGTGGGGTTCATGCGTATGCTGGGGGTTGCCTCGTGAGGTGGGACATGGTGGGGGTGTCCCCACTTTGCAGATAGGAAAATGGGGGCCCAGATGAGGCGGGAACCTGGCCACTCGGGTGTAGGCTGAGCCAAAATGTGAAGCTGAGCTTCCTGGGTCCTGCCTGGGTTGAAGGATGTGGGGTGGGGAGGGCGCGTCTCTGAGTCTGAGCTCTTCACAGACGACAGTGCCAACTTCCGGAAGCGAGGCTCCCTGCTCTGGAACCAGCAGGATGGTACCTTGTCCCTGTCACAGCGGCAGCTCAGCGAGGAGGAGCGGGGCCGACTCCGGGTGAGGTGGGGCACTCAGGGCTGGGTGTGGACGGGGATAGAGGGTATCCAGCTGTCTCTTCAGCTGCCCCGTGCTGGTGCCCGGCAGCCTTCCCTCCAGGCCCAGGTGGGCTTCCAGCACCTCCTGCCACCCTTGCTCTCTGTCCAAGGATGGCCACTCCCGGTGGAATGGTGCCACACTTGGTCCTAGTGCCAGCGGGCACGATGTCCTGCCTCGAGGCCTCCACGCACACTGCTCCCTCTTCCCCGACAGGTTTCACACAATCAGCCCCTCTCCTCTTCCAGATTCAGCTGAGCTGTTTCATGTCCACTTAGACAAAATTCGCTTGTGAGGAAAAAGAGATCCTCAGAATAGCCGTGGTTGGACAGGAGCCTTCTCCTGCCGCCCTGGGCTGCGACAGCCTCCAGGGCCCGGCTCAGTCCTCGTAGGGGTCGTGCACAGAGGCGCCAGGGCTCCAGGCAGCAGGATAGACGGGGAGAAGGAGGGACAGAAGGAACAGCAGTGTTTAGAGGACGCTTGCAAAAGCCGGCACAGCCCACCTCCACCCACAGGCCAGGTGCGGCAGCGAGGGAGGCTGGGGAGCACAGGCTTGATTCTGGAGGCCACGTGGTGAGGTGTGCGTGAGCAGCCTTCGTGCATGGCGCCCACGTGACTCTCTGTCACAGCTGTCCCCAAAGAGAATTTATTGTGCGTGTAACGGGTACGTCCACGCGTCAGGTGGACGCCCGGTACGGCTGGATTCAGGCACAGGGATGGTGTCCTCAGGACCCACCCCATCGTTGGGCTGGGCTCTGTTCTTTTCGTGATGACTTCTCCCTTAGGTGGGGCAGCTCCAGCTGCTGCTGGCTTCACCCACCAGTTGGGCCACCCAGCAGGAAGAGTCCCAGGCAGACTCAGGTCGGCTAGCCTGGGGAGTGTGGGCTGTGAGGCGGGTGGGTCAGAAGAGGGACCTTTGCTGAGGTCTGGTGGGCATCACAGCCTGTCCAGGGATGGCACTGTCCCTCTGACCAGCACCCTCTTTTCCGGTCCCCAGGATGTGGCAGCCCTGAATGGCCTGTACCGGGTCCGGGTCCCGAGGCGACCTGGGGCCCTGGATGGCGTGGAAGCTGGTGGCTACGTCTCCTCCTTTGTCCCTGCGGTGAGTTGGTGTCGAGGATGAGCCCCCTCTCCCTCTTCCTCCCTACCCGCTACCCTGGTCCTGCTTCCACCATTCGAACCCCAGTGTTTCTAGAACCCTCAGAGGCCTGGGAGACTCAGACCTGGCCTCCGCTCCAGGGCCTCCTGGTCTGGAGGGGTGGGTCCAGGTGGTGAGTGCTTTCATGGGACAGCATTGTGAGGGCTCTAGGGTGGGGGTGGTTGGGCTTGGGCTTGTGCCTGAGTGTGACAGGGAGCCGTGGCCCTGTCGAGGGGCGGAGGGGAGGTTAGAGTGGAGCCCAGGCGGCAGGCTCCGCACCTCTGCTGACCCCACTCCCCGCACAGTGCTCCCTGGTGGAGTCGCACCTCTCGGACCTGCTGACCCTGCACGTGGACGTGGCTGGCAATGTGGTGGGCGTGTCGGTGGTGACATACCCTGGGGGCTGCCGGGGCCACGAGGTGGAGGATGTGGACCTGGAGCTGTTCAACACATCGGTGCAGCTGCAGCCGCCCACCACAGCCCCAGGGTGAGCTCGAGTCTGCTGCCTTTGCGATGACCTTGCCGCCTGCCCCGGCCCTTTCTGGGCCTCACCCTTCTCCTCTCCCCTCCCACCAGCCCTGAGACGGCAGCCTTCATTGAGCGACTAGAGATGGAGCAGGCCCAGAAGGCCAAGAACCCCCAGGAGCAGAAGTCCTTCTTTGCCAAATATGTGAGTGGGGCTCCCCTGCCTTCCCATTCCCTTCCTGACAGTGCTGGTGTCTGGCCAGGCCCTCCCTGCTCCTGCCCGTGGTGCTCAGGCCTGCTCCTCATCCTCCCGGCCTCCTGCTGGGGACCCCTCCTGCCCCGGACCTCCTGTGTGTCGTCCTGGTACCTGGGCTGAGGGCTGTCCAGGCTTGTTTGCAGGAGGAGGGCGAGGAGGTGTGGTCAGGGGAGGTCAGGCAGCTCTAGGGCCCAGGGGCCTGGGGGAGGGCTCGGCCTGAGCGAGGCTGGAGCTGTGAGGCTGGAGAGGAACCAGGGAGGCTTGGAAAGGTGGGGCGATTGGTTCCCCGGGGGTCGTACAGGAAGGAGAGAGGAGTGGGTCTGGGAGGGACGCGGCCCAGGGAAGGCCGTGGGGGCAGCAGGGTGCGGGGAGGCTGCCTGGAGCCGAGGAGCGAGGGGCCTGTGCGGCCGGCAGCAGGTCTGAGTGTGGGGTGCGTGGAGGCCGAGGCACAGGGTGGGGGTGCTGGGGATGGGAGGCTCCCCTGCCCATGGAATAGGTGGCTTCCGCCCAGGCCTCTGGTCCCTGAGTGTGGAGACGGGGATTAGGTTGGGGCATAGGACCCCATGCAGGACAGGGCCAGCAAGGAGGCTGGCGTGGCTCAAGGGAGGCCAGGAGGATGCTGAGGCTGGCATGGCTGAGCCCTGCCATGCTGCGCGCCCTGCCCGAGGGCCTCACCCACTCCTCCCACATAGTCCAGCAGCTGTGCTGCAGGGAGACGGATGCCTGGAGGCTTAGCCCCACTGGAGCACCCTCCCGCTCCTCACTGGCCCTAGGGCCCCACGGCTGCCCGCTAGCCCTGACCTGCGCTTCCTCCCTCCCCAGTGGCACCTCATCCTGGGGGGGGCCGTGTTGCTCACAGCCCTGCGTCCTGCTGCGCCAGGGCCCGCGCCACCACCGCAGGAGGCCTGAGTGAGGACTGAGACCCCTGCCCCTGCCCCTCCCTGTGCCCCGCCGGCCCTCCCCCACCTGTAGTGATGTAGGAGACCTGGGCGCCCCCCCCTCACTTGGCCTCCCCTCATACCGGGCCCCACCTTTCCCACCCTGAGTGGGTGCGACCCACACTCACCTCTCTCTCTCTCTCTCTCTCTTTTGTGTCTGTTTGTCCTTCCGTCTGGCCGCAGTGGATGTACATCATTCCCGTCGTCCTGTTCCTCATGATGTCAGGAGCGCCGGACACTGGGGGCCAGGGTGGGGGTGGGGGAGGGGGCGGCGGTGGGGGCAGTGGCCGGTGAGGGCCCAGGCTGGTCAGCTTCCCGTCCTGCACGCCCAGGGCCTCCCTTTCCGCTGGAGTCCCCCGTGTCCTCAGCCATCCCAAGAATGGTTTGCTGGCCCCTCCTTTCCCCATCCCACAAGGCACCTGGGCCAGCCACTTGTCCTCTGCCTTCCTGCTGGCAGAGAAGTGGCTGGATTGGGGCTTTGGCACAGGTGCCAGTGTCTCCTGCGCCTGCGTCTCCTGTGCCCACCTCCCCTGTGACCTCATGCAGCCCCAGGGACTTCCCTGCCCATGGAATAGAGCCCGAGATCCTGGCCAGTGTTCCCCCTGTGACCCCGTGTCCCCCACCCTGAGCCGTGCAGTCTGGGAACATGCCGCCTTCTCCAGCCTCTGTGCCTTTGTTCCTGGTGGTCTCACCCTCCTGCCCCTGGCTGGGCTAGGTGGTCCCGTCCAGGCTCCTGCAGCAGCCCCCTCATTCTGATACTGGACTGGGACGCAGTCTCCCTCTGTGCCCCCTTGGGGGCACCCTGGGTCCCCTCCTTAGGGGCAGAGGTGTGAAAGCCGAGGCTGGATGGCCAGAGGCTCCTGTGCCCCACTCCTAGCACCGTCCCTGGGGTTGAGGTTTGACATTTGTCTGCCTAGTGCAGACAAGGAGTCCTTGCCTGGTGGGTGACAGGCCTCCAGACTTGAAGGAAAAGTTTTAAGGTAAAAAGGAAACCAACCTTTTACCTTTGTTTAAAGTGAAAACAAAACCAACAGTTAGTGGAGTCAAAGGCGATACACTGTCAATAGAACCCCTCCACCCTCCCCCTGCCTCTCAGCGTCCTGCCCCGACCTCGGCACTGGGAGGGGCTGCAGCCCTTGCTGTGCACACCTTAAGTCTATTTAAAAACATGGACAATGTGCTGAAATGTGTGAATGTTTTGAAAAGTTACATTTATAGCTTCTGGCAGCCAAAAGCAACTGTTGTTTGGGCAAGATGGTCCTGATGTACAGGCTTGACTGAAATTGACTGCTCACTTGATATGTTATTCAGAAACCCAAGGAATGGCCATCCCCGACGTCGCAGGCTGTGTGAAGCTCAGCTGTGTCACGTGACAGTTTATTAAACTGGCCCTTGAATGTTGGACCCTCAAGCTCGCCTCCTGCATTGTGTGGTTATAAATAGCGCCCCCGTGAATGCTCTTGTCCAGTCTGCGTGTGGTTAGAATGATCTCGAGATGCATGACTAGAATGGAATTATGATGGCAGGTCGGAAATGCGTTTATGAACAGGAGATGTGTTCACAGGAGTTGACTGTCAGGACCAGGACGTGGCGCATGGGTGGAGGTTGCATTCCCTCCTGTCACTTCTTTTTTGTTTTTGAGACAGGGTCTTGCTCTGTCGCCCAAGCTGGAGAGCAAGTAGCAAGACCTTGGCTCACTGAAACCTCCACCTCCCAGGCTCAGGGCTCCTCCCTCAGCCTCCTGAGTAGCTGGGATGATAGGTGTTTACCACGCGTCAGGGTTATTGCTGAGGTAAAATGAGGAAACTGAGGCAAGTATAAAAAAATGAGAAGTTAATTTATTCAGCTCCTGGGCAGGGTTCTGTGGTCCAGGAAGGGGCCAAGGAAGTGCATCCTGTTGTTTAGGGGAGGGAAGGCAATTGATTGGCTGTTGCGGAAACAAAGTGAAGGCAATTTTATTGGCTGTTGAGAAACAGGAAATGCATGGAGCGAGCTGTCATTGGTAGGTGGGCGGGACCTTGTTAAGTGGGCCTTGATTGGCTATTGGGGAAACAAAGTGAAGGCAACTTTATTGGCTGTTGAGAAACAGGAACTGCATGGAGTGAGCTGTCATTGGTAGGTGGGCGGGACCTTGGGTAAGTGGGCTGGCCGGGGCATAAAAGGCAGACTGCTATCGGGCAGGGTTTGGTGGGGCTTCTTTAAAATTTTTTCAGGGTTTTCCAACAGCGGGCTGGGGGTTGGATGCATAGTTGGGTGCTGAGTGTGGGCTTGGGTCTGGTATGCAGAGGCAGGTGTGGGGAAGCCATGTGGGGAGGCCAGATAACGAGCTTGGGTGATGACGTAGTTATCAGGCGTGGAGTGGGGTGAGTGTGTCCGTTTAACTCCCAGCGAGGCAACCAGCCTTACACCACGCCCAGCTAGTTTTTGTATTTTTTGTAGAGATGGGGTTTCACCGTGTTGCCCAGGCTGGTTTTGAACTGCTGTACTCAAGTGATCCACCTTCCTCTACCTCTGAATGTGCTGGGATTGCAGGTATGAGCCACCATGCTGGCTTCTCTCATCACTTCTTCAGTCTAACACCCCACTGAGCTCTTTCGGCTACTCTGTTCTCTCATCACTCCTATTTGATTTTTTATTTTCCCTCCTGAAGTGTCTGTGTCAGCCCAACCAGATAGTAATGTGCAGTACTTGTCCCTCCCTGACCTTTTTTTTTTTTTTTTTTTTTTTTTTTTTTTTGAGACGGAGTTTCGCTCTTGTTACCCAGGCTGGAGTGCAATGGCACGATCTCGGTTCACCGCAACCTCCGCCTCCTGGGTTCAGGCAATTCTCCTGTCTCAGCCTCCTGAGTAGCTGGGATTACAGGCACACACCACCATGCCCAGCTACTTTTTTGTATTTTTAGTAGAGACGGGGTTTCACCATGTTGACCAGGTTGGTCTCGAACTCTTGACCTCGTGATCCACCCGCCTCGGCCTCCCAAAGTGCTGGGATTACAGGCTTGAGCCACCGCGCCCGGCCTTTTTTTTTTTTTTTTTTTTTTTGAGACAGAGTTTTGCTCTTGTTACCCAGGCTGGAGTGCAATGGCACGATCTCGGCTCACCGCAACCTCCGCCTCCTGGGTTCAGGCAATTCTCCTGCCTCAGCCTCCTGAGTAGCTGGGATTACAGGCACGTGCCACCATGCCCAGCTAATTTTTTGTATTTTTAGTAGAGACGGGGTTTCACCATGTTGACCGGGCTGGTCTCGATCTCTTGACCTCGTGATCCACCCGCCTCGGCCTCCCAAAGTGCTGGGATTACAGGCTTGAGCCACCGCGCCCGGCCCTCCCTGACCTTTTTAAAGAGAAGGGGCTCATTCTGTCACCCAGGCTGGAGTGCCGTGGCACATAGTTCACTGCAGGCTCAAACTCCTGAGCTCAAACGATCCTCCTACCTTGGCCTCCCAAAGTGTTGGAATTACAGGTGTGAGCCACCATGCTCGGCGGAGGGATTATCTTTTTACAGGCTTTTATTTATTCATGTATTTTTTGGTAGCAACACGCTCCGAGGCATCCGTGCCATGGAACGAGGTGCACCTTATACCAGACATGGAAACCGCCCAGCTATGCCAATAGAAGGTGGGAAGAGAGCAGCACTTGCAAAACTATTCACATGTGGACCTGCTGCTTGATGTGGATAATATCTGCAGAGTATCAGGGGACAGAAAACCCAGGCCGCCTCCAGGGAACGGGAAGTGGGTGCTGGAGTCCGGGGTGAGCACACGGTTTCTCACCATGGATCCCACTGTATCTTTGGTGTTGGAGAGTCTCCCTCTGCTGGATTTGAATGCTCCTAAATGCATTTAGGATCGCTTGCCATGCATCCTAAAATATACAAGCAATCCTAAAATACACAAGACTACATTTAGTATTTTGTAAAATTCTTTACTACCCCCAAACTGTCTACTGGAAACTATGGGCTCCTTATTTGGGGGAGGTGGGGGGTGGGATGGAGTTTCACTTGTCACCCAGACTGCAGTGGCTTGATCTTGGCTCACTGCAACCTCTACCTCCCAGGTTCAAGCAATTCTTCTGCCTCAGCGTCCTGAGTAGCTGGGATTACACCTATATGCCTCCACTCCTAACTTTCGGTTTTTTTAAATCTTTAAAAAAAAAAAAAAAAAAAAAGGCCGGGCGCGGTGGCTCAAGCCTGTAATCCCAGCACTTTGGGAGGCCGAGGCGGGTGGATCACGAGGCCGAGAGATCGAGACCATCCTGGTCAACATGGTGAAACCCCGTCTCTACTAAAAATACAAAAAATTAGCTGGGCATGGTGGCTCGTGCCTGTAATCCCAGCTACTCAGGAGGCTGAGGCAGGAGAATTGTCTGAACCCAGGAGGCAGAGGTGCCGTGAGCCGAGATCGCGCCATTGCACTCCAGCTTGGGTAACAAGAGCGAAACACCATCTCAAAAGACATATATGTGTACACACATGGCAGTGTGATTTGCTGTCTTCCTCCCCCTTGTCAGACGGTTAGATGGCAAAAATTTTTTCCCATTCTTTTGGTTGCCGATTCACTCTAATGACTGTTTCTTTTGCCGTGCAGAAGCTGTGGAGTTTGATTAGGTCCCATTTGTCTTGTTTTGGCTTTTGTTGCCAGTGCTTTTGGTGTTTTGGTCATGAAGTCCTTGCCTATGCCTGTGTCCTGAATGGTTTTGCCTAGATTTTATTCTAGGGTTTTTATGGTGTTAGGTCTTATGTTTAAGTCTTTAATCCATCTGGAGTTAATTTTAGTGTAAGGTGTCAGGAAGGGGTCCAGTTTCTGCTTTCTGCACATGGGTAGCCAGTTTTCCCAGCACCATTTATTAAACAGGGAATCCTTTCCCCATTGCTTGTTTTTGTGAGGTTTGTCAGTGATCCGATGGTTGTAGACGTGTGGTGTCGCCTCCGAGGCCTCTGTTCTGTTCCATTGGTCTCTATCTCTGTTTTGGTATCAGTACCGTGCTGTTTTGATTACTGTAGCCTTGTAGTTATATTTTGAAGTCCGGTAGTGTGATGCCTCCAGCTTTGTTCTTTTTGCTTAGAATTGATTTGGCTAGCCGGACGCGGTGGCTCAAGCCTGTAATCCCAGCACTTTGGGAGGCCGAGGCGGGTGGATCACGAGGTCAAGAGATCGAGACCATCCTGGTCAACATGGTGAAACCCCGTCTCTACTAAAAATACAAAACATTAGCTGGGCATGGTGGCGCGTGCCTGTAATCCCAGCTACTCAGGAGGCTGAGGCAGGAGAATTGCCTGAGCCCAGGAGGCAGAGGTTGTGGTGAGCCGAGATCGCGCCATTGCACTCCAGCCTGGGTAACGAGAGCGAAACTCCGTCTCAAAAAAAAAAAAAAAAGAATTGATTTGGCTATGCAGGCTCTCCTTTGGTTCCATAATTTTTGTATTTTTAGTAGAGATTTCTACTCACCATGTTGACCAGGCTGGTCTCAAATTCCTGACTTAAAGTGATACACCTGCCTTGGCCCCCTAAAATGCTGGGATTACACGTGTGAGCCACCAGGCCTGGCATCTATAGGCTTCTTCACCCCGTCAGAGACTCCCTGGTAAGATCAGGGGCTAATGACTGGTGCCTCTTCAGCTGTCAGTCCAGCCTCCTTTGCTTGTACCCACCTTCCAGTCAGCAAGGCACAACTTTGTTACAAAAGAAACAAACTCAATTTGGTCCATTTCCTGGAATGCAGTCTCCCCAGACAGGTTTGTGTGAACAAATTTCCATTTTCCTTTGTTTGCCATATACAGCCCTACCTGCATTTCCATGGGAGCCAATCCACCCACCCATAGGGTGACTTGAAAATGTGTGAAGTGCAGCCGTTTCATACCATGATGTTTATATATTGATTAGGAGTAAAAATACTCATTTTTACAGAATGTTACAAGTTCTCCCTCCCCCCTCCTTTCACCCAGTATCCCCTGTTCCTCCCCCAGGCATTCTGGTCGTTGTTCTTTGCTGGGATCATTGTCAGTGTCTCGTTTGCAAGTAGGTGGTGAGAGAAGATTCCACGCACTCGGAATGCCTCAGGCCGGCTCCTGTGGCGGCTTCTCTCCGTGTCCTTCAGGGAGCACTGCTGGTTCCTCAGCTATCGTCGGGTTCCTTCCAAGTCCCTGTCCTAGCAGTTGCTGCTCTTCAGAAACACTGGGCACCGATTTTCTCATCTGTGAAATGGAATTCAGGTGAGGTTCCCCCCCACCCCCCGCCCCCCGCCCCGAGTGCTGAGGTGCTTCCCGAGGAAGAGTTGGGGCGGGAGTGGAATGGAGCAGAAAAGGGCGTCATCCCCTGCTCACTGAGCTCAGACAGGAGGCCAGGAATCAGCAGGTTCAGGAGCCCATTCCTGGCTGACCCCAGGAGCCCCCAGTCCTGCCCCGCTCCTTACATGCTGTGTATCTTTAGGCAAGTTGCTTCCCGTCTCTGAGCGTTTTCCTTGTTTTCGCCTTCCTGGGCCTTGGGCAGGTCTGATTCCTCCAGGTAGCGTCCAGGGTTCCAGACAGATGGAAAAGAGAGAGAGAATGGGAGTCACAAAGGTGTCTGTCTACTCCTGGGCCTCAGGCTTGGAGCCTGCTCAGGGCTATCCTGTTTGGGACTCAGTGTGAACTCCTGCCTCCTGGTCAGGACCTGGGAGCAGCCAAGGCAGGAATGGGAGAGGGAGGCAAAGGCCCACGGGGCAAGGAGGCAGGGGCCATCTGGAGGTGGAGGAGAGGAGGCTTGGAGGAGGGAGGCTGGTGGGAGTAAGAGCTCTGGGGGAGAGAGAGAGAGGGAGCAGGAGCAAGGAGAAGAGACAGGTGAAAGGATGGGGCAGAGACAGAGAAACCAGAGAGAAGGAAGGAAGAGACCCAAGAAGGAGAGACAGGGAAGGAAAAGGGAGGTGAAAAGAGGAAAAGACAAGAGTCAGAGGAGAGGAGAGCGGAGAGGTGGAAATGAAACTGGAGAAACAGGGAGGAAAGGGAGGAGAAAGTTCAGCAAAAAAGCAGGAGTCGTCGATGGCATGTGCCCGAGTCCCAGCTACTCGGGAGGCTGAGGTGGGAGGATCACTGGAGCCCAGGATTTCTGGGCTCTAGTGCACTATGCCGATCGGGTGTCTGTACTAAGTTTGGCATCAATAGGGTGACCTCGGGAAGATCCAAGATAGCCGATTAGACACAACTCCAGCGCACAACACCCAGTGAGAGACACGGAAATCCAGAGCTCTCCTAGCTCCAACTGAGGTACCAGGTCCATTTCAACGGGTCTGGTCCGATGGTGAGGAAAGCCCACTCAGGGCAGACTGGGGCGGGGAGGGGTGCTGCTTCATCCAGAAAGTGCATCTGACCGGTGACTTGGAGGCTTCCCCTCTGGCACTCCGGTCCAGATACAGCCCTTCCCCTCAAGCCTCAGCAATACACAGAACAGGGGATCTTTGCCAGTCAAACGCTGGGATTTACAAGTGTGGAGTTGAATAAGAGCCTGAGGTATCACCCCCTCCCCGTGCCCAGAGAGAGGGAGCTGTAAGCAGAAGCGGCTGGGTGGGTCCCTACCCTCCCCACAAACCCCAGAGGGTGGAAGCTCTTAAGTGTAGTCGGTTGTGCAGCCAGTGCCACAGTCTGAGATGAACCCTGAATGATCCAGCCCAGTGGAGGAATGGCACAACCCACCACTACCGGGGTGGGACTGGGCTACATGTTTTAACACCACAGGAAGCCTATGTAGCAAAGGGCCGGCATTCTTGACAACCCAGCAGCGCCTACAGGTCAGCAGAAGAGACGGGCCTAATCTTCCAGCGTAAACAAAAGACACGGGAAGCTTCCCTAGAAACCCAGTAGTGCCTCCACAGGCAGACAAGCAACCTCATCAAGCTGCTCTCTGACACCACAGCCAAGTAAATCCACGAAGATGGGGGGAAAAAACCATCAAAGACCAGAACGCCTCTTCTCCTTCAAGGGATCGCAACTCCTCAACAACACAGGATCACAACTTGACCAAGAAGGAGTGTGAAGAATTGATGGAAACAGGATTCTGAAGGTAGGTAATGACAAACTTTTCAGAGCTAAAGGAACACATTCTAACTCAATGCAAGGAAACCAAAAACCCTGAAAAAAGGTTAGGCGAAATACTAACTAGAATCACCAGCTTAGAGAAGAACATAAATGACTTGATGGAGTTGAAAACACAAGCTTTTTTTTTTTTTTTTTTTTTTTTTTGAGACGGAGTTTCGCTCTTGTTACCCAGGCTGGAGTACAATGGCGCGATCTCGGCTCACCGCAACCTCCACCTCCTGGGTTCAGGCAATTCTCCTGCCTCAGCCTCCTGAGTAGCTGGGATTACAGGCACGCGCCACCATGCCCAGCTAATTTTTTGTATTTTTAGTAGAGACGGGTTTCACTTTGTTGACCAGGATGGTCTCGATCTCTTGACCTCGTGATCCACCCGCCTCGGCCTCCCAAAGTGCTGGGATTACAGGCTTGAGCCACCGCGCCCGGCTGCAAACACAAGTTTTAATAGTGGAATCGATCAAGACAGACAGCTCTACTCACATAAACCAGTAAACCAGGAAGAAATGGATAAATTTCTAGACACTTGTACTCTACCAAGACTAAACCAGGAGGAAGCTGAAACCCTGAATAGACCAGTAACAAGGGCTGACGTAGAGGCAGCAATCAATAGCCTACCAACCAAAAACCGTCCAGGCCCAGACGGGTTCACAGCCGAATTCTACCAGACGTACAAAGAGGAGCTGGTTCCATTCCTTCTGAAACTGTATCAAACACCACAAAAGGAGGGAATCCTCCCTAACTCAGTTTATGAGACCAACATCATCCCGATACCAAAACCAGGCAGACTCAACTAAAAAAGAAAACTTCAGGCCAGAGTGGGAGAGGGAAGAGGGAGAAAGGAGACAGAGTGGGGGCCGGAAGTGGAAAGAGAAGAAAAGGCAGAAGGGGAAAGAAAGACGAGTGAAAAGGACAGGAAGGAGGGAGAGAAATGGTGGGAGCCATGGCGCTGGCTCCGAGAAGAGGGAGGCAGAGAAACGGGTGAAGGAGGGAGCAGCCCAGGGAGAGGGGCATGAGGGAGAGTGGCCGGCTGGCTGCCCAGGGAGAGGGAGGGAGGGAGGGCGGAGCGGGAAGCTCCAGCAAGAGAAGAGGAGAGAAAAAGGAGAGAGCCAGGAACAGGAAGGAGAAGAAAGCCAGGAGACCCTGAGACAGGAGAGAAAAGGGCGCCGAGGAGAGTGGCAGGGAGGAGGGGGGGAGAGGAAACAGCCAGAGAATGTGCTAGAAGGGACACAGGAGAGAAGAGCTGGACAGGGAGAGACGTGAGAAAAAGGAATGTGGCAGTAGAGAGGACAGTGAGAAAAAACAGGAAGAAACAAATGGGAGAGGGGCAGAGACAGCAGACCTGATGGAGGCGGGGACAGCGGTGCATCAGGGAGGGAGGGGAGAGGGCTGCAGAGGAGAGAAGGCGAGACAGACGTTGGGAAGGAAGGGAGACTGAAGGGAGAAAGGGAAAAATACTAAAAAGGGCAGAGAAGGAAACAGGCCGTGTGTGGTGGCTCACGCCTGTGATCCCAGTAGTTGGGGAGGCTGAGGTGGGAGGACCACTGGAGCCTGGGACGTGGAGACTGCACCACTGCACTCCAGCCTGGGTGAATGAGCGAGAAGAAAAGCAGAGAGGAAAGAAGAGGTGCGTGCCCCTCCAGCTGAGGGCTGGTGCCCCTAGGACAGCGTCAGCCCAGAGACCAGAGCAAGAAGCAGGAACGTGACGCAGGTGAGGAGCTGGTGCGAGGCAGGGAGAGGGCCAGGCAGGCCAGCTGGGGGTCTTCTGGGCATAGCCCAGGCTACTGCGGGACAGGTGGCCAGACCCAGCGAGTCCAGGCTGGGAACTCGGCCACGCAGCAGAAACGTCCACCAGCCTCATAGGAGATGCTCCTGCCTCAAGGGGCGCAGTCACCCCGGGACCATCTCTGTGACCCAGGGAGAGGATGGGGAGAGGGAGGAAAAGAGCAGCTGTGGAAGGGGCGACAGAGGAGGAGGAAGGGATGGAGCTGGGGGGCGGGAGGTCAGGAGACAGGATGGAGGCAGCTGCCCGAGAGGTTGGCAGAACAGAAGGAGCGAGGAATTGCCGAGCACCGACCTGGGGGAGAGGAGCAGAGGAGCGAAGGGGGACTGGAAGGGAACTGGAGAAAAGTCTGCCCGAGAAGCAGAAGTGTCAGAGTAGGGGTGTGTGTGACGGGGCGGGAGAGCCAGTGGCAAGATAAAAGAAGGCGCAAAAAGCAAAGCCACACCTGACGCCTCATCCACTGACACCGAGACAGGCTGTCGCTCCTGCCCCAGCCCCACAGCCGATAACAAGTAGGAACCTGGGTAAAGTGTTCTTAGCGATCTTAAGAGCATCAAACTGCAGACAAGACCGTAAGGAAGACGTGGGTCAGCGCGCAGGGACGCTGGAGCCCATATTGGTGAAGTGGGAGTTACGTGTCCTTGGATCCAGGGATCTCTTGGTCTGGGCCATCTGGCCTTCCGTGTGGACAGCCTGGGTGACAGGGGGACCCAGGGCCCTCACCTGGGCTACCTCAGGTGGGTGGGATCAGAGAAACATGCCCTCCACCTGGTCCCTTACTTCCTTTTCAGATCCAACACGCAGAGCAGGGCGCAAGCGACCAGGCTAGCAGGGAAGGGAGACAGTGAGCAAGAGCCGGCGGGACGGCGGGGTGGACGCAGAGGCCTCCACTGCTGGGAAATCCGACGCAGCCCACGAGTGCCTGTGCTCGCTGTGAGTAAGACAAAGACCGGGCTCGTGGGTGCACTGACACTAACAAGAGCAAGTCATGGGGTAACACCCGTGGCCCAGACAATGAGCTGCAGACGGACGGGACTGTGCAGCTGTGGAGACACACAAGCTGATGGTCCCGGGACCTGGCGGGACATGAAATAAGTTTCCTAAAGGGTGAAACATTGCTGGACCAATTGTCCTGATCGTCCAAGGCAGGGTAAAAATATCCCAGCAGGCGGAGGAGCCCTCCCTGTCCCGCCTCCTGCGAGGGGCCTCGGGGCCTCTGCAGCTGCCGATGTTGGAGTCAAGAAGAAGACGGCATGCAGGAGGGGACAGGGGCCGGGAGGTGAGGGGACGGCAGGCGTGGCGGGTGGGGTCGGGGCAAGGCTGTGGGCGCAGGCGTCAGAACTGAGGAGCCGGTGGGAGCAGAGAGGGGAGAGAAGGGTCAAGGGCAATGACAGGCAGAGAAACTGTCTGGAAAGGAGGGAGCAGGCGTGGAGAGGCGGAGCTGGGCAGGACTTGGGTCTGGAGGTGACGGGAGAGAGCTTTCGGGGTGAGGAAGGAGCGAGGAGAACAAACGCAACAGCAAGTAGGCCAGGAAGGAACAAGTGAAGGGGGGATGGAAAGTACACGGGAGAGCCCCACGGAGGCGAGAGGGGGAGAGACGGTGTCGGAGGCAGAGAGGGGGAGACAGCGGGAGAGAGAGACGGAGAGGGAGAGACCGAGAGAGAGAGAGACAGGGAGAGGGAAAGAGACACCGAGAAAGAGACTGAGAGAAAGAGACAAAACGATGGCAAGACACACAGTGAGAGACAGGTGAGAGAGGGAGACGCGAGCCAGCCTGACTGAGGCACCGCGCGGGAGCAACTGGGTGGGGCTCACTGCAGGCGCCCAGAGGAAGGGGAGGGGAGGGGAGAGGAAGGGAGAGAGGCAAACCCAAGGGGCAGTAACTGGAAGGAAGCTGACGGAGGCAGGGAGCCCGAGGGCACAGGCCCCCCCTGCAGTGCTGCCCCTGGTCCCTGGCCTGCTTGTCCCCTTCCGACACAGTCCAGTGCTGTGGACGGACAGGCGGGCGCAGTCAGACTGAGGCCCCATCAGCTCGTCCTCTGGGGGTCAAGTACAGACAATGAGGAAATGAAAGGGTGAGGACGGACGGGGAGGACTCAGCACAGGGGGAGGGGAGAGGGCAGAGGACCCTGGGGGTTGGCAGTCTGGAGGACAAGGGAGAAGATTCCAGAAAGGCTGAGAGTCACAAGGTGGGCAGTCAGGAAAAGGTGGAGCTGGGTGGAAGCAGGTGGAGGACCCAAGGAGGAGCAGGAGTGTGTGAGACCTGGAGGGGAGGAAGGAGGAGGAAAGAGGGAGGAAAGAGGGGAGAGGAGGAGGATGGGGGGGGGGAGGAGGGGGAGGGGGAGGGGAGAGGAGGGAGGGGGGAGCAGGGAGAGGAGGGAGGGGGGGAGGAGGGAGGGGGAGGAGGGGGGAGGAGGGGGAGGGGGAGGGGGGAGGAGGGGGAGGAGGAATGAGAAAGGGAGGAAGGAAGGATGAAGGAGGAGGAGGAGGAGGAGGACGGTGGGGGTGAAGGACCCTCTGGCCTGTAGTGGGAGGGAAATTAGTGTGTATCAAAGATAAGCCGGGGCCGGGCGTGATGGCTCACGCCTGTAATCCCAGCATTTTGGGAGGCTGAGGCGGGTGGATCGTTTGAGGTCAGGAGTTCGAGACCAGCTTGGCCAATATAACAAGTCCTACCAAAAATATAAAAATCAGCCAGGCATGGTGGCGGGCGCCTGTAATCCCAGCACTTTGGGAGGCCAAGGCAGGAGAATCGCTTGTACTTGGGAGGTGGAGGTTGCAATGAGCCGAGATTGCTCCATTGCATTCCAGCCTGGGCAGCAGAGTGAGCCCATCTCAAAAAAAAAAAAAAAAAAAAGTTGGGGAGTTGGGGGCATGTAGAGACAGGAACAGAGTCGGGAGTAAGGATGCCGGAGAGATTCTGAGAATGGGAGAGAGGCGAGGGCAAGAGAGACAGAGGCGGTGGGGGGGTCACAGAGAGTTAGAAGGAGAGATGGGGGAGGGGCACATCTTCCTCACCTGGACCGCAGTTTCTAGAGCATTCCTTCCTAGATTCCCTCAAGGCCTCCTTCAGCACCCCCCCCCCGCCCCGCCCTGGGAGGGAGTGGCCATTGTCATCCACCTATTTTCCCAAGGGCGAAATCAGGCTGCAGCCCAGATCCTACGTGCTGCTGGGGGTGTAGCTGGCTGCCCCTTCTAGGCTGTGGCAGCTGCAACTCCTGAGGAAACCTAAGCCCCTGCCATCGGAACGGTCTGGGGCTTCTACTGCTGAGAAGGAAGAAAAAGAGAGGGACAGGGGAAAGAAGGGCCTAGAGAGAGTCGCCAGGTACACAGTCGGTGCCCAATTGGTGTCCTTTCACCTTCCGAGGGAAGGCACAGAGAGTAGGAAGGCAGAGAGAGGAAGGGAAGGGGGACAGAGGGAGAGAAGGGGAGGCTGTGCACGTAAAAAGCCTGGCACACAGTCGGTGCTCAATAAATGCACATTCCCTCCAGGACCACATGAAAAACGAGAAGAAACCTCCGCAGAGGAAAAGCAGCCTAGAGAGGGGCATGGAACCAGGCGCGGTGGCTCACGCCCGGAATCCCAGCACTCTGGGAGGCCAAGGCGAGTGAATCACCTGAGGTCAGGAGTTCCAGACCAGCCTGGGTAACACAGTGAAACCCCGTTTCAAAAAAATTACCGGAACATGGTGGTGCACACCTGTAATCCCAGCTACCCGTCATCTCTGCTTCAGCTTGGGAGGCGGAGGCTGCAGTGACAGGAGGTCGTGCCCCTGCACTCCAGCCTGGGCGACAGAGCGAGACTCCGACTAAAAAAATATAGAGGGGCACGGGTGGAAAGTGTGACGCACACAGTAGGTGTTCGTTAAGTGTTGTTTCTTTTCCCCAAGAGACAGGAGAAAGTAAAGGAGGGAGTGAGGAGAGGAGGAGGAGGAGGGAGCGGAGGGGAAGGAGGAGGAAGAGGAGGAAGAAACTCCAGCAGAGAGAGCAGAACAGACTGTTGTGTGGGAAGGAGACAATATACGTAAAGTCACTAATACACAGTAGGTGCCTAATAAATGCCCCTTCTTCCTGGCAGCAAGCACAGAGCAAGCAGCCAGGAGGAAGACAGCAAGCAGCAAGGAGAGAAGGGAGAACAGAGCCTGTGAGGCAGCAGATGGTGTAGACGAACAGGCAGCATACAGCAGGCACTCAGCCATGCCTGTTCTCTCCCCCAGGAAAGGGCTGGCAGGGCAGAGAGGAAGGGGAGAAGCTGGAGGAGAGGAGGCGGCCGGGAGAAGAGCAAAGGAGAACATGTGCTCTGGTGAGCGGTGGGCACACAGGAGGCACTCAATAAATGCACATGGTCTTCCTTGGAGGAGCAAGAGAACAAGACGGAAATGAAGGCACAGACAGGAACAAGAGGAGGCCTCCGTGGGGGTGGAGGGGCGGAGGGAGGAGAGACAGAGGAGAGGATGTGTGGGGAGGGAGGGGTGCGGGTGAGCCATGGGGGACACAGGAGGTGCTCAGTCAACACTGGCACTCTTCCCCAGAAGAGGACCCAGAGAGCAGAGTGAAGGAAGAAGCGGGCAGAGCAAGAGGGGTAAGTGGGATGTTAATTGCCTGGCATACAGCAGGTGACCCATAATTGCTTACTTTTGTCCCCGAGAAAGAGCTGATGGAACAGAAAGAAGTTAGAGATAAGGGAAGAAGTGGTGGAAGGGTTGGGGGAGAGTACAGAAACGGTCTGGCACACAATAGGTGCTCAATAAATGCCCATTTTCTTCCCTGGCAGAGTGCAGAAAGACGCAGAGACTGGTGGAGTCAGTGGAGACTGAAGGGCAAGAGGAGAGTAGAGAAAGAACCCAACTGCGTGCATACCAGAAGTGCTCAATAAATGTAGTCCTCGCCTTGGAAGAGGGCAGAGAGCACAGAAACACAAGGAGAGGACAGGAGAGGGACCAGGGAGGCAGAGGGTGAGGAGAGGTGTGCACAGTGCCTGGTCCACAGCAAGTGCTCAGTGCGTCCACCCGCCCTGCCGGCAGGGAGCAGAGAGTCGGAAAGGAGAGGAACAGAGGGAAGAAGCGGCCCCGGGGAGGCGGCTCACCGCACTTGAGGGCAGAGGCGGGAGGATGGCTTCTTGAGCCCAGGAGTTCGAGACCGGCCTGGCCAACATAGGGAGACCCCGTCTCTCTAAAAAATACAAAGATTAGGCTGGGCACGGTGGCTCACGCTGGTAATCCCAGCACTTTGGGAGACTGAGGCGGGTGGATCACCTGAGGTCGGGAGTTCAAGACCAGCCTAACCAACATGGTGAAACCCCATCTCTGTTAAAAATACAAAAAATGAGCTGGGCATGGTGGCACGTGCCTGTAATCCCAGCTACTCGGGAAGCTGAGGCAGGAGAATTGCTGGAATCCAGGAGGTGGACGTTGACATGAGCTGAGATCGCGCCATTGCACTCCAGCCTGGGTGACCAAAACAAAACTCCGCCTCAAACAGTAATAATAATACAAAAATGAGCCAGATACGGTGGTGCCTCGACTTCCAGCTACTTGGGGGGCTGGGGTAGAGGACCGCCTGAGCACAGGAGGTCGAGGCTGTAGTGAGCCTCGATTGTGTGACTGCGATCCAGCCTGGGTGGGAGTGAAACCTCATCTCAAAAAAAAAAAAAAAAAAAAAAAAGAGAGAAGAAAGCAGGGCGGGGGGAGGAGAGGAAGCAGGCAGAGAGCAGCCAGTGTTCCCAAACTCCTTGGCACACAGTAGACGCTCAATAGATGCCCGCTGCCTTCCCAGGAGACCCGAGCCAATGGGAAAGAGAAAGGAAGTGGGGTGGAAGGGACAGGAAAGCTGGAGGATGGAAGGTGCAGATGGACGCCAGCTTCAGGTGCATAATAATTGCCCGTTTCCCAGGAGGAACAAGCAGCGGACGGGACAGGGGGGCGGGAGGCGGGAGTGTAAGGAGAGGAAGGCAGGCGTTGTGGATGCGGGCGGCAGGTGCTCCGTAAATGCCTGTTCCCTTCCCCAGGCAGAGCAGAGAAAGCAGGCGGGGACCCCAGGAAGGGAGTCCAGGGGAGGAGGGGAGTCTGAGGGTGGAGGCTCCGGGCCAGGCCCCTAGGAGGTGCACCCCACCAACCCTGGGTCTGTGGCCGCCCCTCCTCCACGGCCCAGACCACAGGCCTCCCCAGCTGGCCAGCTCCTCTGGAGCTCTGACAAGGGGCCATTGTTCTGGGCCTGGCACCGCCTGGCCTGGCCTGGCCTGGCCTGAAGGGGGAGGGGAGGCTGCCCAGCCCTGCCCGGCCCTTGTTCCCTATGTCTGTTTGTGTGTATTGGGGCGGGGGCGCTGCCTGGTCTCTCTGTCTCTGGGTCTCTGAGTCTCTGTCTCCCAGTCTCTCACGAGCTGTATCTCTGACCTGCCATCTCTCATCTCTGAGCTCATGGCCCCATCTCGTCTCTGTCTTGCTCGGTCTCTCGCTCTCTCTGTCTTCTGTCTCTGCATCCATCTCTGTCTCTGGGAGGGAGGAGCCCCCACACCCAGCTCTGGGATTCCCACCTCCTAGACCCAGGATCAGGGCTGGGGGCCGAGCTGAGAGGCAGAGGAGTGAGGAAGGAAAGAAGGAGGCGCAGAAGGGAGAGAGGTGAGGACAGAAACAGCTTTATTCAGCAGGGACCGCAGAGGCCAGGGAGGGCTTCATCTGGAGAGCTGGGGAGAGAGGAGGACTCAGAGAGAGACAGGAGAGACAGACAGAGACGGAGAGACAGAGGCAGAGAGAAGTGGGGGAGAGACAGACAGAGAGAAATGGGGGAGAGGCAGAGACAAGTGGGGGAGAGACAGGCAGAGAAGTGGGGGGAGAGACAGAGAAGTGGGTGAGGCAGAGACAGAAGTGGGGGAGAGGCAGAGACAGTGAGGGAGAGACAAGTGGGGGAGAGGCAGAGAGAAGTTGGGGAGACGCAGACAGAAATGTGGGGAGAGACAGAGATAGTGAAGTGGGGGAGAGGCAGAGACATGCGGGGAGAGACAGAGAAGTGGGGGAGAGACAGAAGTTGGGGAGAGGCAGAGACAGAAATGCGGGGAGACAAGTTGGGGAGAGGCAGACAGAAGTGGGAAAAAGACAAGTGGGGGAGAGGCAGAGACAAGTGGGGGAGAGGCAGAGACAAGTCGGGGAGAGGCAGAGACAGAAGTAGGGGAGAGACAAATGTGGGGAGAGACAGAGAAGTGGGGGAGAGGCAGAGACAAATGCGGGGAGAGACAGAGACAAGTGGGGGAGAGACAGAAATGTGGGGAGAGACAGAGAAGTGGGGGAGAGGCAGAGACAAAGAAATGCGGGGAGAGACAGAGACAGAGAAGTGGGGGGAGAGGCAGAGATAGAAGTGAGGGGGACAGCCGGGCACGGTGGCTCAAGCCTGTAATCCCAGCACTTTGGGAGGCCGAGGCGGGTGGATCACGAGGTCAAGAGATCGAGACCATCCTGGTCAACAAGGTGAAACCCCGTCTCTACTAAAAATACAAAAATTAGCTGGGCATGGTGGCACGTGCCTGTAATCCCAGTTACTCAGGAGGCTGAGGCAGGAGAATTGCCTGAACCCAGGAGGCGGAGGTTGCGGTGAGCCGAGATCGCGCCATTGCACTCCAGCCTGGGCAACAAGAGCGAAACTCCGTCTCACAAAAAATATATAAATAAAAATAAAAAGAAGTGGGGGAGAGACATGGGGGAAGAGACAGAAGTTGGGGAGAGACAGAGACAGAGAAGTGGGTAAGAGACAGAAGTGGGGAGAGAGGCAGAGACAGAGAGAAGTAGGGGAGAGGCAGATGGAAATAAGTGGGGGAGAGACACAGAGATAAGAGACAGAGACACAGAGATACCAAGCCAGGGAAAGACAGAGCGAGATGGGGGAGAAAAGGGAGAGTAAGAAAGAGAAAGGGGTTGCTGAGGGAGACAGAGACAGAGAGACTCTCAGAGACAGAGGGAGACAGACAGAGAGAGGGAGACAGACAGAGACAGAGGGAGGGAGACAGAGAGGGGAGACAGACAGACAAAGAGACAGAGGGAGACAGAGACAGAGACAGAGGGAGAGACAGAGGGAGACAGACAGAGACAGGGAGACAGAGAGAGGGGAGACAGACAGACAGAAAGAGACAGAGGGAGAAGACGCGCAGAGCCTTGCGGTGGGGAGGTCGAGGAAGGAGCAGCCCCTCTCACCTGGCGTTGGTGGCGGCTGAACCCTGGGCCCGACCACGCAATTTAAGGGATGCCCTGGGGGTGAGACCGCCCCCCGCCACCGCCTTAGCTGGCCAGACCCGGCTCTGTGAGCTAAATCGGGCAGCAGCTGTCACCACCAGGGGGTGTGGGACAGCTGTCCCCTCCGCCCGCACCTGCCCGCCACAGCCCCTCTGTCTTCCCTCCTGCAGCCCGGGGTGGCTGAGAGGCAACTGGCATCTACGTGGGGCACCCCAGCCCCCTCAGCTCTGGGACGAGCCTGGCTGGGCGCCTTGGGGTGAGTGGCAGTCCTCTGAGTCCCGAGGCACTTCTGTGAGAAGAGGGGTCCCAGTGGAGGGGGCATGGGGCTCTGCACTGTGGGGCAGACAGTAAGTGCTTAGATGGTGTGATAACCTGTCGCCCTGCCCCCTCTCACCTGCCAGGATGTGGGGGTTAGGGCAGGAGGGAGTGGGAGCAGGAGGAGGTCAGCGGCCCCTCTCTCCCCACCGACTCCCCCTCCCTGGGCTCCTCACTCAGGACCTTATTTGGCCATAACCCAGCACGCACATGGGGGCCACAGCCCTGCCTGTCACTCAGGCCAAGAATAGCAACACTCAGGCCCCTGCCAGGCTGTCTGGGACCTGTGATGGGACAGGTGACAGGCACGGGTGGCAGGGAGGGGCCAGGGGCCCAGGGAGAAGGGGGGAGAAGGGGAGAGAAGGGGAGAGACACAGAGAGATAGAGGGGAGAGACAGCTGAGCAAAGACTGAGAGAGACCTTGGAGAGACAGACCGCTAGCCAGATTAATAAAAAAGAGAAGGGAGAAGAATTAAATGGATGCAACAAAAACAATACAGGGGACATCACCCCTCATCCCGCAGAAATACACACCACCATCAAGGATTACCACAGCCAGCTCTACTCACATAACCAGTAAACCAGGAGGAAATGGACACATTCGTAGACGCTTGTACTCGACCGAGACTAAACCAGGAGGAAGCTGAAACCCTGAACAGACCAGTAACAAGGGCTGACGTAGAGGCAGCAATCAATAGCCTACCAACCAAAAACCGTCCAGGCCCAGACGGGTTCACAGCCGAATTCTACCAGACGTACAAAGAGGAGCTGGTTCCATTCCTTCTGAAACTGTATCAAACACCACAAAAGGAGGGAATCCTCCCTAACTCAGTTTATGAGACCAACATCATCCCGATACCAAAACCAGGCAGACTCAACTAAAAAAGAAAACTTCAGGCCAACATCCATGATGAACATCGACGCAAAATCTTCAATAAAATACTGGCAAACAGATTGCAATAGCACATCAAGAAGCTTATCCATCACGACCAAGCAGGCTTCATCCCGGGGACGCGTGGCTGGTTCAACATGTGCAAATCCATAAATGTAATCCATCACATAAACGGAACCAAAGACAAAAAGCACATGAGTATCTCAACAGACGCAGAGAAGGCCTTCGATAAAATTCAACGGCACTTCATGCTAAAAACTCTCAATACATTAAGTATCGACGGAATGTATCATAAAATGATTAAAGCTATATATGACAAACCTACAGTCACCCTGGAGTTGGGGTGTCCCCTCTGTTGTGAACTTTTCACCTTACAGCCCGCCCTCTGACCTTGGGGAAACCTGCAGACCAGAGCGTGCCACACCCTGCTCCCTGCGTGGCCAGGGCTTTTGCGAGTGCGTCCTATGGGATGTCAGCTCCACCTTGCCGGGGTGTCACGGGCAGCCTGAACTGCCCGCCATGGCACATGGCCTGCTTCTGGAGGGACACACCCCAAGTGGGGGAACACCTGCCTCCCTGCACCTGAGTCCCCCACTTCTGCGGGTGCCTAGTGGGTGTCACCGGGTTTAGCCAGGCCCCTGGGCACCTTCCACTCACTCCTGCCTCCTCACCTTCCAGGGCCCCCCCAGGCTCAGACCCTCCTCGCCATCACCCTCAGGGGCCTGGCTCAAGCCCCGCCTCACCCCTCTAGACCCCTCCTAGCCTCCCTGTGGGCCTCCTGGCCTCTCGTCCCCCCTCCATTCTGTCCCTGCAGCCCCAGAGGGGTCTCTGCACCCAGAGCTGACCTGCCCCTCCCTGCCTGCAGCTCCAGGCTGCCCTCAGAGGTCTCGCCTGGTTGGGTTCCTGGCCAGGATCCACCCTCCTCCTTTGTCACCTCCTCAAATAACTCACCTCCTCAAATAACTCCGGTGATAAACAGCCGCAGCGTTCCAGGTCTCATGGGGTGACTTCCAATTCCGGAGCGCCCTCCCCTGCGCCGCCAGCCTCCGCAGAGCCCTCTGCAGTCTTCGTGGCTGGTCTTGTCTCTCGCCCATTTTATGCAACCTGCTTGTCCCAGGGTTCCTTCTCTGTCCTCTGGTCCCTGCAGTGCCCCGTGGGGACACCGCACAAGCCCCCACAGCTGGGATAGGAATGCTTGGTGTCCTCTTGGGTCTCCCACTGGGTGGAAGCTGGGACGGTGGACGGACTCCGCTGGTCTGCACGGGTGTCCCTCCTCTGCTGTGGGGACCCTTGTGATGATGTGGGGCCCACAGGGGATCCAGGACACTCTCCTGGTCTCAAGGTTGGCTGGCTGGCAGCGTCAATCCCACCTGCACCCTCACTTCCCCTTCACTGTGTAACACGGCATTGTTCACAGGCTCTGGGGACTAGGACAGGACATTCAGAAATCATATTTATTATTATTATTTTGAGACAGAATCTTGCGCTGTCACCCAGGCTGGAGTGCAGTGGTGTGATCTCGGCTCACTGCAGCCTCCGCCTCCTGGGTTCTAGGGATTCTCCTGCCTCAGCCTCCCAAGTAGCTGAGATTACAGGCGCTCACCACCACACCTGGCTAATTTTTGTATTTTTAGTAGAGAGTTTTACCTTGTTGGCCAGGCTGGTCTTGAAACTCTTGACCTCAGGTGATCCATGTGCCTCGGCCTCCCAGAGTGCTGGGGTTACAGGTGTGAGCCACTGGCCTCACATCCCACTTATTTTTAATTTTTTTGTAGAGACAGCGTCTGGCTGTGTTGCCCAGACTGGTCTCATAATTATGGGCCTCAGCCTCCCGAAGCACTGTGATTATAGGCATGGCCGCTACATCTGGCCAGGGTGTGCACAGCTTTGGGGCCGCTGTTCTACCACCTACCAATCAGTGGAATAGAATCCAGAGTCCAGAAGTCAACTCAGGCATGGCGGCTCACACCTATAATCCCAGCACTTTGGGAAGGCGAGGCAGGCAGACTCAGCTGCCTGAGGTTAGGAGTTCAAGACCAGCTTGGGCAACAGAGTGAGATCCCATCTCTACAAAAAAGTGTAAAGAAAGCAGCCAGGTGTGGTGGTCCCAGCTACTTGGGAGGCTGAGGCGAGAGGATCACTTGAGCCCAGGAGTTCAAGGCTGCAGTGAGCTGTGACTGAGCCACTGCACTCCAGCCTGGGTGACAAAGTGAGACCCTGCCTCAATCAATCAATCAATCAATCAATCAAATAAAGAAGTAGCCCCTGCTTTCTCCTTTGCAAGTACCCCCGTGGAACCCAGGAGATGGAACCTGTTTGCTGCTGGCCTCTCTCCTGTATGGGAGGAGTGTGAGCCCCAGGGGGCACGGACTTGTGTTGTTTTCTGCTGTGTCCCTGATGAGGAAACTGAGGCCCAGTGGTGAGGAACTGGCATGAGGTGGCAGAGAACCAGGAGGGGTCCTAGGCTCTCACCCCGCCCACCAGGGTGTCTGGCTGCTCAGATAAGTGGGAGTCACTGAGCGGAAGGGCCCCAGAAGGGCGGGGCAGTCAGACATAGGACAGGCCAGCAGCAAATCAGCAGATTTATTGAGGCAGCAGCGGCAGTGGGGAGCAGGGCTGTGGGGAGGGTATGGGCCTACCCCGGGTCCATGATTGCAGGCCTTTCCCAGGCACGCAGGGTACACGGGAGGAAGATGCGGAGGAACCGTGCCGTAGGCAGGACGGTCAGCTGTGGTCAGTCTGTCCGCAGCCAGCAGCCCTTCTCCTCCACCTCCTTGGTCACCACCAGCAGCACCTCACACAGGCCTTGGGCCAGTGCAGCCGCCAGGAAGGCCCTGGGTGGGAGAAATGGGGAGACTGAGGCTTGGCCAGCCGTGGCATTCCCTCCGGGGAGTGGGGTTTCAGGATGGAGCCTGTGGTCTCGGAATTGCCTGTGCGGGGCTCACCTCACTCCATCCTCGTCCCCCAGGGCCTCCGGCGCCCGCAGCTTGGAGTCCAGGTTGTAGTAGACGCCATCCACCTGGCGCAGGGCCACCCAGTGCCGCCGCCGCAGCGGCAGCGACAGCAGCCCCAGCGACACGGGCGAGGGCAGGTTCAGGATCAGCCCCAGCACCTGGGGCAGGGCCAGCTGGGACAGGGGCCTGTGTGGGCAGGGGGGGACACCGCCGTCAGGGCCTGCTCCGCCTGTGTGCTGGTGAAATGTTGGGGAGCATGTGGGGCCCAGGCTGGTGGCGGTGGGGGGGCCTCCTGAGCCCAGCCAGGGGTGTTCCTTAATCAGTCACCCTGGTTCCTGACACTAATATGTTCACCGCCGACTCAAACAAACCTCCCACCCACGCAGACTCCCAACCAGACCTCCCATCTACCCACAGCCCACCCAACTCACATCTGTCCTTCACCAACCACCATCACCCCGTCTGTCCAGCCACCCACCCACCTTCTCCACTCCTCACATAGCCACCCAGGATCCACCCACGATCCACCCACCCCACCGATCCCAGCCATCAGCCAACTTCCCAACGATGATTCACACACTCACCCCCATCTATGCGCCCACTTTCCAGCCCTCACACACACCTGCCCCACCTCCCTGCCAGCCACCCACCACCATCACCACCCAGCTAGCCATCTACTGCTCCCCACCCATGCAGCCAGCCATCACCCAACAGCAGCCCTGCCGTGCCCCCTACTCCTCACCCACTCTGCCATCGATCTGCCCCCGATCCACCAGCCACTGGCCAGGCAGCCATCAAAACCTCCCATTCATCCACCCAACTCCCCAGCCTCCTGTCTGCTGTCCACGGCCCACGAACACCCATCCCTTCATACCCCTCATCCAACACATCCAACCGCCCACGCAGCATTCACCCGGTAACCATCATCCACCCAGCATCTCAGCCCATCGACCACCGGCTCTCCCCCACCAACCAGTCAGCACCAGTCTTCCCACGTCCACGCCCACCTCCCCCAGCCGCATTTCCCTCCCTGCCTCCCCCGAAGCAGGCTTACACTACAGGGCGCCCTCGGTGCCCGGCCCGGCATGTGCTGTGCTGCTCTGGGGCCTACCTCCTCCTGTCCCACCACACGGCAGCCAGGCCCAGCCCCTGCAGAGCGGCCATGATCACATTGACGTCATAGTTGCCGGTGCCCAGGAGGCTGCGATGAGGGTTCAGCCGGGAGTCTGGGGCCAACCTGGTGGTGGGGGTGGCCAAAGCTGAGTTGGGGACCCTGGAAAGACCACCTCACAAAATGGGGGTCCCAGGAGCCACAAGTTGCCTCGGCCTTTGACTCTCCCTGTTTCAGACCCCACAACTCATCCACCCTCAAGTCCCGTCTCTCCTGCCCTGACTCTGCCCTGTCCCCAAGGCCCCAGAAGGGCTTTGTCTCCGCCCCAAGTCTCTCCCTCCAGGCCATTTCCCCGGGGCCCTGGGCCTCCCCTGCTCACAGGCCTCCCATGGCTCCCCAGTGTCCCTGGACAAAGTCCCCATCCCTTGGCCAGTCCCTTCCTCTGTCCATCAAGACCCGCCTCAGATGTCACAACCTCTGAGAGGAGCCTCCTGACCTCCGGGCTGGGTCAAGGCCCTCTCTAGGCCACCCCAGTGAACTGAGCACTTCAATGACGACCACTGCCTGTATCACCCCGACTGAACACTGCCTGCTCCTCCCACAGGGCCGCCCCGCCATTCCCGTCACAGCCCACTCTGCTGCCTCATTTTCCCCAGGACGGAGTCCCACCAGGTCCTGCGTGGTCTGGCCCTGGTGGCCTCACCTCAGAGCCTCAGCCCCCACTTCCTGGTCCCCTGGCCCCAGCCACATCCCCTGTGGGGCACCCCCCCACTGCCCAGGAAGGCTCTTCTGCCAGCCAGCACGTGTGTCTCTGGGCCCTGCCCCTGAACAGCTGCACATCTGTTCCCTATCTGGGCCCTGGGAGAGCAGGGCAGAGGAGGAAAAGGCTCCTGTGTGTGTGTTTCCTTCGCCTCCCTCAGGCCAGCACTCGTGAACCAGTCATTTCAGGGTCTCCGGCATGGCTTTGGCATGAAAGAGCTGATGGGTCCTTGTTCTGAATGACAGAGATGAATATTCCCCATAATAATCAGTCTGAGAGGCTGGGACTCTTAGGATATCCAGGAGCCACAGGAGGCTTCGAGCAAGGGGCAGAGGAGGCAGGGTTATCTCCGGGTGTAGAAAGACCCTCTAGCGTCACGTGGGGACTGAGGGAGGGGACAGACTGGAGGTCCCGGGCAGGGTGGGCAGGAGAGGGTCAGGCCTGAGCTGGGGCCAGGGTCCTGGGGACAGAGATGAGGGAGTGAGATGATTAAGTCCTATGTTTGTTTGAGACAGCGTCTTGCTTTGTGGCTGGCTCTCTGAGACCTCTGTCTCCCAGGTTCGAGCAATTCTCCAGAGTAGATGGGACTACAGGCGTATGCCACCACGCCCAGCTAATGTTTTAAACATTTTTTAGTAGGCTGGGCACGGTGGCTCAAGCCTGTAATCCCAGCACTTTGCGGGAGGCCGAGGCGGGTGGATCACGAGGTCGAGAGATTGAGACCATCCTGGTCAACATGGTGAAACCCCGTCTATACTAAAAATACAAAAAATTAGCTGGGCATGGTGGCGCGTGCCTGTAATCCCAGCTACTCAGGAGGCTGAGGCAGGAGAATTGCCTGAACCCGGGAGGCGGAGGTTGCGGTGAGCCGAGATTGCGCCATTGCACTCCAGCCTGGGTAACAAGAGCGAAACTCCCGTCTCAAAAAGAAAAAAAATTTTTTTTTAGTAGAGACAGGGTTTCACCCTGTTGGCCAGAGCGGTCTCAAACTCCTGACCTTACGTGATCCACCCACCTCGGCCTCCCAAAGCGCTGGGATTCCAGGCGTGAGTCACCATGCCGGGCTAAAGAGTGATGTTTGACATGGTGAACAGTGAAGAGGAACATTCCAGGCTGGCAGGGAAGGCAGCCACGCCAGGCAGAAAGAAGTACTTGGAGGCCCAGAGGCCACACAGTGGGGCCTCCAGGGGAGTGGAATGAAGTCTGGTTTGAGGGGGTCGGTGAGGGCTGAAGCTGCAGAGGCAGGCTCAGCGTCTGCTACGAGGAGGGCCCTGAGCAGGGCGGGGCATGTTTAGAATGGACTGGAGAGCTGTGACGGGGCCCAGATAAGAGACCCTGAAGCTGGGTGAGCCTGTGATCACAGCTACTGGGGAGGCTGAGGTGGGAGGATCACTTAAGCTTGGGAGCTCGAGGCCAGCCGGGCAGCACAGCAAGATGTCTCTAAAGAAACGAAAGAACCACCGGATTGAGGCCTGGCTGGGGCTGAAGCCACAGGGACAGACAGGCACAGGAGGCAACATCTCCCCAGTGCCTAGCTTAGGCAAGTGAGCAGGGTGGGGGCAGAAGCAAGCCCCCAGGCTCAGTGCCGCCTCCTGCTCCAGGGGCTGGGGTGGGTGACGGTCACCTCTTGCAGATCTCATCGGCAGCCTCCTGGCTAAAGAGCTGCTGCTGCAGAACGTTGTTGAGGGCGTGGACGGCACACAGCTCCAGGCGCTGCCGTTCGTGGTACACAGAGGGCGGACTCGGCTGTGCTCCTGGGGCCTGGGACATGCCGTCCTTGGCTCCTGCTGGGGGTTGGGAGGGGGAGAAGGTCCTTAGGGGCCCGGGATCTAGAGGTTCGACCTCCCAGCAGGCCTTTGGGGCACCGCCATTGATTGAGCTGGGGCTCGGGGCAGCCCGGGAGGACCCTGGACCCCTGACCCCGCTCCCTGGCAGTCTCCTGGCAGTACGCGTCCCTCCATCCCCTACTCGTATTCCTACGAAAAAGGCTGTCTCTTCAGCTCCCTCAGCAACACAGAACCACCCCCACCACGTCTCTAAGTAACAGGGTCCCTATCATGGTCACCTAGCAACAGAGGAACCCTCCTCCCCTGTCCCTAGGTAACCGGGGCGCTCTGCGGTTCCCTAGCAACACAGCCCCCTTCCCGCCGCACTAGGTAACAGTCTGTCCTCCCAGCACCTAGCAATAGAGGGTCCTCCTCCACTGTCTCTAGGTGATAGGGTCCCCTCTGGTCTCCTAGCAACAGAAGACTCCCTTCCCCGGTCAGGAAGCAGCGAGGCTCTCTGCTCTTGTCACTTGGCAACGGGGGCCCCCTCCCCAGTCACTAAGCAACAGGAGTGCCTCCTCCCATCTCCCGGCAACCAGGCCCCGTCCCCGGACACCGAGGAATGGAGCCCTTCACCGACCCGCACCCCAACCACGGCGCTCGCCCTTTGCCTGGCAAAGCCCCTCACCCCGCCAGCCTCTCCACTCCACCGAGCCGGGGGCTTCCGCATCCCCGTCCTGGGCGGCGGCTCTGGGCTCCCAGTGCGGGGCGGGCAGCACGGCGCTGACTGGGCAGGCGGGACGGACTACAGCTCCCGGCGGTCCCCGCACGCCGGACTGCGACTCCCGTGGGTCCCCGCGGGACGCTTTAGCTCCACAAGGAACGCCCAGGCCGCGAAGCCCTGAAGTCCGCTGTCAGGCCTAGAAAACGCCACACTACAACTTTGGTCGGGCCCCGAGGCAATTCCCGGAAGTGCGCCTCAGACGCCATTCCCTCGCGTACGGCCACGCCCACTGCCGCGCGGAGATTCTGGGTAATATAGTGGGTAGGCTCTCGCGATAGGTTCCTGGCGCCGCGCTCTCGCGGTGCTCGCCCCTTGTGATGGCGTCATACGCGGTGCGCAGACGCAGCGTGACGTCACAGAAGGGAAACAGGGACCAGAGACGCCAGGAGGCGGAGGGGCGGGCAGCTGTGGTCTTTACTGAGTCAGAAGGGAGATCCTGGGGAAGTGGGGCAGGGCAGGAGTGGGATGGTGGTGGTGGGAGGCCAGTCAGATGATCTCGCCTCGGGAGGGAGAAGGCTTCTCAGCAGAGATGGATCCCCGGCCTGGAGGGGAGCTGGCAGCAGGCTGCGGGGAGAGAGGGGAGATGAGACAGACACCTGGGGGAGGCAGTGGCGAGAGGAAGGGACAGGCCAGGGCGGCGGTGGACGAAGACCCCCGAGAAAGCAGGACAGAGCCCTGGGGGTGGACAGAGACACATACACACAAGAGTCCCGGACAGAGGCGGGCACAGAGAACTCACGGACAGAGATGGAAACATCTACAGTGCCAGGATTCAAAGTTGCGGAGAGAGGAGGTTAAGGAAATAAAGGTCAGAAGCAAAGGTCAACAGGGACAGAACCAGAACTGCAGGACTAGCCAGAGCCTGGGACCCCACGCTCTGCAGACACAGGAGCCCAGGGCCAGGGGAGCGGGGCCTGGCCGCACCCAGGAGGCTCCGCCAGAAGGCCGTGACGGTGGCAGAGCCGGTGACCGCGCCTGGCTCTGCAGGGTTCTCTCTGCGGGTGTGCACAGCAAAGCTTCGGCCCGTGGGGCCTGGGGGTCCACTCAGCTCCACATCCACCACGTGCATGTCCGTGAGGCTGGGGCAAGCAGGGCGGTCAGTCTGGTTACCCTGGACTTGGCCCAACCCCCTGCTCAGCTCTGCTCACCTGAGATCAGCCACAAGCACCCCAATCACCCCATCGAAGCCCAGGCTGGGGGCAGCCAGGGCAGCGGCCGCCATGGTGTTGGAGTTTCGGGGGGCAAAGGGACAGAGCCCACGGACAGGGCCTTCGTAGAGCACAGTGCGACACCCGGTGCTGTGGGCTTCAGCCAGGGGTCCCTCCAGCCGGAAGCCATCAGGGTGTGTGGCCATGGTGACACGCAGGCTCTGGAAGCAAGAGCCCGGGTCAGGGGGAGTAGGGTCTTTGCAGGCCCCCTCCAGTTCCTCGGGAGCCCAGCAGACCCGCACCTGGAGGCCCCCAGCTGCATCCAATCTCTTGATGTCCTCAGTGCCCCACAGAGCCCCTCGGGCCACAAACACGGCATGGTTCCAGTGGTTCGAGGCCTCCAAGAGCTGCCGCTCTGTGGTCTGGTCACCTAGGGCTGATGGGGACCCCACCTGGGGTGCACGAAAGAGGGAGGGTTGAGGTCAGAGAAGGATTTCTACTTTAGGGTAGGGTAAGACTAAGACGCAAGGGGGAGGGCTCTGCGTGAATGGTTGGGGCGGGGCTTACCAGGAGATTGGCATGGCGCAGGATTTGTGCCCCAGATTCATGGATTATTTTGGGATGGGCCACTTCCACAACCAGATCAGGGTGCCTGGGAGAGGGGAAAGAGGGCAGAGGGTCTTGGAGAGGTATTAGGCCTCTTCTCCCCAAGATTCTCTCTTAGTCTACTGAGGGCTGCCCTCTTCTCCCTGGCCTGGGAGGCAAAATGCGATGAATGGGCTCATCCTGTTTCACATTTGCATGAACCAAGGCTCAGAGGGTCAGGGAGTCCCTGAGATCAATCACACAACGGCTGAGGGGGCCAGGACAGGAGCTTCAGGGAGCTCCACTCTCCCATGGCACGGTCACTGACCTTTCCCCAAGGGCAGCAAGGTTCTGGAGCTGCAGGGAAGGGGGCACGCTCCCTGCCATTCGTCCTGGGTCACGATTCCAGACGAAAACAAGTTCTAAGCCAAGTTCTGGTCCCAGAGCCAACAGGCGGGAGACAAGGGACCGTCCTGGGAAGAGGGAAAGCAGAGGACTAGAGACCCAGAGAGAAGGGGACAGAGGCCCAGAGAGAGGGGCACAGAGGCCCAGAGAGAAAGGAATGGGGGACAGAGACCCGGCGGCGGGGGGGAACAGACCCAGAGAGAGGGGGACAGACCCAGAGAGAGGGCGACAGATACCCAGAGAGGAGGGGACAGAGACTTAGAGTGAGAGGGAGACAGACCTAGTGAGAAGGGGACAGAGACCCGGAGGGAGAGGAGGGGAGGAAAGAGACCCAGAGAGAGAGAGAGAGAGAGGAAGTGGGGACAGATACCCCGAGAGAGAGAGAGAGAGAAAGAGAGAGAGAGAGAGAGAGAGAGAGAGAAGGTGGGAACAGAGACTCAGAGATCGGGGAGATAGAGACGGAGGCAGGGGCAGAAACCCAGTGGGGTAGACAGAGGGCCAGAGAGAAGGGGACAGATGGAGAAGACAGAGACCCAGGGTGGGGTGCGGTGGGCAGACCCAGAGACACATCCAGGGGAGGACAGAGACAGAAGTTGTGTTTGTGGAGGGCAGAGAGCCTTGGGGGCTTTAGAAAGCGGCCTGGGAAAGGAGGCCCAAGATGGTCAGAGACTCACCGAGGCGGCCGTAGCCCACCACGCCCACCCTCCGTGGTCCCCTGTCGGCCATGGCCCTGAGTGTGGTGGTCTGTGGCCTGGGCTCCCTGGACTGCTCGCTGCCCACTGCATGAGGCTGGGAAGCTGCTGCTCTTTGGACATTTGACCCTTGAGCCTCTGGGCTCAGCCTTCTCCCTTCCCCGCAGACCCAGGGTGGGGGTGTGGGTCGGCTGGAGTGGAGGCAGGAGAACCCTTCCCTGCTCTCTGACCCCTTTCCCAGACCTGGCGCGGTGAGCATGGTGACCGGGGGTTCTGGGAGCCCTGCATGCCCCTTTCCCCGAAGCACACCCTCCTTGCTCTCTGCTGGTGTGGAAAATTTCCTCTGCAGTCCCCTGCCCCCATCTCTGGCTGGCCAGGTTGTCATGGAAACTGCATCTTGCTTTGGGTGGGGAGAAGAGATGGTGACAGGGATCTGGGCTCTGTCTGTCCCTTTGCGCTCAGCTCCGCTCCTCGTCCTCAAGCAGCCAAGGTCTGAGGGAAGCTTCAGCCTGGCCGTGCCCCCAGCTCTTCCGGAGGCAGTGGGAGCCCTGGTTGCGGCTTCTCCTCGGTGCCCTTGCCTCAGCGGGCCCAACCTCCTTAGCCCTGCAGCACGGGTCCCCTTACCAAAGCCTCCACCCCCGTCCACAGCCTCCCTCAGATCTGATCATCCTTCAGTTCACCTTGACTTGCCACCTTTCACTCTGTCCCCCATCGTGCCACCAGCTGCCTTCCATGTGACATTCTCACTCCCACGTCCATCCCTCCCGCTCTCCAGCTCACATCAGCCCAGGAGAAGCCTGTGAGGCCTGGGGAGGCCAAGCGCCCCCACCGTGAGCCCCAGCCACTGTGCCTCGAGGGTGCCTGGCATCGGAAATGGCGCAGGCTGCGGCAGTGCAGGCTCCCTGCCCCCAGCCACCACCTGGTACCCGCTGCAGTGTTTCCATAGCAACCAGGATTGGCGCTGGAAGGAGGCTGGAGAGAAAGAGAGCGTGAAAGGGAGCATGGGGTGGGGGGTGGGCACTGGGTGGCGAGAGCCCCAAGCTGACAGGCGGAGAGAGGAGACAGGCGCAGACAGAGAGGACCCGGGACCCCGACATGGCGCCCAGAGGCTGCCGCTGCTGATAAGGGAGGAATTGGCTTTCAGAGCCAGGAGCCCCGGGTGTGGGGAGATAAGATGCCCAGGTGTAGAAAGCCAGAAGAGGGCAGGGGCCGGGGGGGCCTCATGCGTGGAGGTCTCTGCCATCCCCACCTTCTGACTCCTTCTGGGGCCTGAGTGTCCCACAGTGCCCACAGCTGCCATGTACAGGGTACAGGCTGGGCCCCCGTGAGGGGAGAAGGGGGCTGAGCTCGGGGCTGTGTGTTCCCAAGACCCCCTCAGCGTGGGAAGGCACTGGAAGGCCCAGTATGGCTCTGGCACTCCCGCTGCCTCCCCCAGCGGTGTGAGATGGCAACTCTGGCGAGCCCCAGCCTCCACCCCCACAGAGACATCATCACCCTGTCCCCCCACCCACCCAATAGCTGCCCACTGTGCCGGCCGCCGCCCAACTCCACCCACTGTTTGCTCCCTGCTCTCTGAGGGCTCTGTCCCTTACTTTCTGGGCGGCACTGTGGTGTCCCTGCCTTCTCAAGGCCCACCCCCCATCCGTCCCTCCATCCTCCCACTGAACAAGCCAGAAATACAGCTCCTGTGCCCCAGAGGCCGCAGCCCCAGCCTCCCTCTCCCCCCACGCCACTCAGCCTCCCTCCCCTTCATCACCCCCTCCTCCAGAGCAGCCCTGAGGGGGTCTGCAGTGGAGACACATGCTTTGGATTAGGCCCTGTCATGAGCTGAACTGTCACCCCAAAAGGGAAGCGCAGAAATCCTGACCTCAGAACAGGACCTTATTTGGCAATTTGAGTTTTTGCCAGGGATGGAGCGGAGGTTATACTGGAGGTGGAGGTGCCTGGTCCAGTCTGATCTCTGTCCTTGTAGAAGGGGAAGTTAGGCAGGCCGTGGTGGCTCACGCCTGTAATCCCAGCACTTTGGGAGGCCAAGGCAAGTGGATCACTTGAGGTCAGGAGTTCGAGACCAGCCTGGCCAACATGGCGAAACCCTGTCTCTACTAAAAATACAAAAATTAGCCAGGCATGGTTGGTGGGCACTTGTAATCCCAGCTACTTGGGAGGCTGAGGCAGAAGATTCACTTGAACCTGGGAGGCAGAAGTTGCAGTGACCAGAGATTGTATTGCTGCACTCCAGCCTGGGCCACAGAGCAAGAGTCTGTCTCAAAAAAAAAAAAAAAAGAAAAAAAGAAAAAGAAAAAAAGAAAAAACGGGGAGTTGGACACAGACGCATACAGAGGGAAGAGTTGGAAGGCTGCAAGGACAGGCCTGGACAACTCGGGTGATGTGATCCAGCCACCAGCCGGGACAGCCTGGGGCCACCAGCAGCTGGCGAAGCAGGAAGCTCTCCCCGACCCCAACCAGAGGCCCGAAGGTTTCAGAGCGCGTGGCCCTCCTGGCCCCTCGAGCCCTTCCCGCCTCCAGGACTGAGGGACAGCAGATTCCTTTGTTCTAAGCCCCTGCCTTAGATTCGGCTGTCGTGTGGCAATGCTTCGGTGAGGGGAAGGAATCGGACCTTCCCTGGGGTCTCCAGGGTGAAGGCTAAGGGGCCTAAGCCCAGCAGCAGGTGCCCTGCGCCCGCCCTTCTGGCGGGTCTTCAGGGTGGTTCTCCAGCCTCTCCTCCGCCCCCACCCACATTCACTTTGTTTTCTCTCCTCCCTGCTTTCATGACCAAAAAAAATATTTTTTTACTTTTTCCATGTTTTTTTTTTTTTTTTTTTTTTTTTTTTTTTTTTAAAGTAATTACAGAGCAGGTAGTCGACGCAAACCTCCCTTCAGTATCAAAAGTGTCTGTGGGGCAAGTGGGGCTGGGGCGGGTGGAGGCTGCCACCCCCACCCCGCCGACGACAGGGACTGCCGGCCAGGAGGGACGGGCCAGGGTGCAGGAGCTCTGGCGACACGTCCGTCTCTTCCGTTTCGAAGGGCGGAGGAGTGGGAGGGAGGGATGGGCGTCAAACTGCAAAAACTGAACCGTAAAAGGAGGGTGTCTGGGGCCGAGGGGAAAGGGCACCCCTGGAAAAATCTCCTCTCTCCCCTGGAAGGCGGCGGCTGGGAACAGTCGGGAGAGCCAGGAGGAAGTGAGGAGAACTCGGGCCACTTCTGGATCCCATGTCCCCTCCCGTCACCAGGGATCGGCGGGGGTGAGGTGAGGACCCCCGGAGACTCCGCTTCTGGAGCCCCACCCTGTCCTCACCGGGGGTCCGTGCCCCACATGGGGCCGGAAGCCACCTCTCCCCAATTCCCCGCGTGGTCCCAGAAGGTGGGCTGGGCTGTGGGAAGGAGGGGTCCCGGTGGGGCTGGGACCAGGGTGGGGGGCTCCGCGCCCCTCGCCCGTCCGGCCCCGCAGCCTCAGATCTGCGTCTCTTGCACGTTCTCCTTGGAGCCGCTCTTGAAGAGCAGAGGTTCGTGGATGGAGTTGAGGCCGGGCGGGCCCTTCCCCCCGCAGCCTCCGCCGCCGGGGTTGCCGCTGTAGTGCGCCTTGAAGGCGGCGGCCACATAGTGGTGGTGGTTGAGGTGGTCTCGCTCCAGGGCGGGCAGGGCCAGGTGGCTGTCCCCGCCCACGCCACCCCCACCGGCCACGGCGGCCGCGGCGGCCACGGACACAGCCGAGGCGGCGGGCAGCTCGTCCTCCACGTTGATGATCTCCACGGTGCGCGTGGGCCCGTGGTGCTTGTGGAGCTGGTGCTGCTTCCGCAGCTTGTAGAAGGCCACGAGCATCACCGCGGCCATGAATGTGATGGCCACGAAGCAGCCGATGATGATCTTGGTGGTCTTCATGACGTCGTCCAGGTCCTTGAGGGCGTTCTCCGTCACATCCGTGATGGGCACCGTGAACGCCTTCTCCGTGGGCCGCGAGGAGCGCGGGGCCGGTGCCGTGGTGGACGACGAGGCCGGGCCCGCCGCGTCCCCGGGCCGGCCCCCGCCCCAGACACCGTCCGTCGTGGGCCCCGGCGGTTCCTTCTCAGTCCCCCGCGGCTGCAGGGCCTCCTCTCCGGGCTGCGTCTCCAGGGTCTCCACGGTCACCGTGGTGAAGTAGGTGTAGCCGCCACTGCCCCCTCCGACACCACCACCGCCCCCAGGGCCGCCCCCGCCGGTGCCCCCGGCCGCCACGGGGTCCACGGCCGAGACGTTGAGCGTGGCCGAGGCGGTGGTGTTGCCGGCCGAGTTCGTCACCATGCACGTGTACTGGCCCGTGTCCTGCACGGTGACGTTGGTGAAGTTGAGCGTGCCGTCATGCAGGACGGAGATGCGCACGCGGTAGGAGCCGTGGGTCATGAGGGTGCCATTGGGCGTCAGCCAGTTGACGGAGGTCATGGAGGTGCCCGTGCGGCATTTGAGCTCGGCGGCCATGCCCTCGGTGACGTTGAGGTCCGTGGGCGGCTCCACGATGACCGGCGCGTAGCAGGTGAAGTGCGACTGGTCCAGCTCCCCGATGTAGCGGCCCTTGAGGCCCGCGGGCGCGTGGCAGCGCGCGCAGCACGTGGTGTTGCTGGGCACCGTCTCCTTGAGCCACCAGCTCAGCCAGAGCACATCGCAGTTGCAGTGCCAGGGGTTGTGGTTGAGGTGCACGCGCTCGAGGCGGTGCAGGGGCGTGAAGAGGTCGTGGGGCAGCGACATCAGGTTGTTGTGGGACAGGTTGAGCTCCTCCAGCGACTTGAGGTCGTCGAAGGCGTTGCGCTCGATGGTGGCCACCTGGGCGTGCATGAGCCACAGCTTGCGCAGGCTGGTGAGACCCTGGAAGGAGCCCGGGCGGATCAGGTCCAGCCGGTTGCCTGACAGCTCCAGCTCTTCCAGGCGCACCAGGGCCGTCAGGTTGGGGATGTCCTTGAGGTTGCACATGCCCAGGTTGAGGTAGCGCAGGTTGACCAGCCCCTCGAAGGCCGCCTCGGAGATGTACTCCAGCCGCTTGAGCTCGCCCAGGTCCAGGCGCCGCAGCGAGGGCACGCGGTTGAAGGCGTAAGAGGGGATGCTCTCGATGGGGTTGTTGCGCAGCCAGAGCTCCCGCAGCTTAGACAGGTACTCGAAGGC